ATATGAAAGCAGGTTATGAACTTTAACATGTTCAACAAATACCAACTGCATGTGATCCCTCATTTTAACTCTTGGTGATATAGGACTATTGCCTTCATACCCTGCTAGAATGCATCCTCTTCTTGGAGCTCAGCCTGCCCTTTGAAGGACTGTACACAGCCAATCACAGCCTTCATCTGCTGATACTCTCTGCCCTTGGTGCCTTTCTTGCCTCTCTTGACCTCCTCTTCTCAATCCTGCCTGACCCCTCTGTCTTCATGTCCAAGACAGGCGTCCACTCGAATCTGTTCCTGGTCCTTTCCTCTTCGTCTCCTCGCTCATTCTGGAATGTCTCAGTGATTTCCATCCCTTCGGACCTCCATTATTGTGCTGATGACACCTCCACTCACACCTTCTGCCTTGGCTTCGATTCGCAGTATTCCATCTCCATCTGGGTATTCCCACAGGCACTTCAAATTCACCTTGGGCAACACTAAATGATTCCCTTCTTACTTACTTCTCTTCCTTTTTACTTAAAACAACATGTTCCCTCTAAATACTTGGGCCAGAATGGTAGAAGTCATGTATTATTGTTGTTGTTTGTTTCTTGAACATCTACTACGTGGCAGATATCAACCTAGGTTCTTTGCCTTCTTGATTTGCTTTATTCCCTATGATGTAGGTCTTACATCATTATGTCTTACAAAGCTGGAATCTGAGTTTCAGAGAGCTTAAACAACTTTGAGTCCAAGGTTACATAGCTAATAAATGGTGGAACTGGGATTTTATTATAGGCTTTTTTGACTCCAAAGTCCATTCTCTTAATCTTAATGACTATACGACATTGACTTCTTCCTGAATTCTCATACATAATTGCTAACAATTCCTTTTAATTTTATCACTCAAATGTCTCTTGAATCAGTTCTTTCCTTTCTTTGTTCAGTGCTGCTAACTTGTTCAGACACACATCTCACACATATTTAAATATATGTGTATAGGTGGTGCTTTTTTCTAATTATGAATATGATATATACGGGCTGTAAGACAATTCATTACGGATCTAGATAGTGAAAGTTTTGCAACCCCAGCTTCTAAAGATGACCGCCATTAACGGTATAGCATACATTCCTCAATTTTTTTCTATGTATATGGTAGCATATCATGCCTTCTTAAAATGGATCATGCCATCCTGAAACTTGCTCTCCTTATTTCATATATCAACACACACAGATCTACCTTGTTCTTTTTTTTTAGTTAGGTAAAACATACACATGTTTTATACAAAGTTCAAGAGGCACAAAAAGGTATATTACAAAAAATGTCGTCCTTTACCCTTGCTTCCCAGCCACCAGTCGGAATTGCTGTCACCCACTTCTTGGCTAGTTTTCTGGGGCCTCATTTCTTTTAATAGCAGCATAGCTTCCCATTGTGTGGATGTACCAAATCCATGTACCAAATTATTTCAGTGTTTCATTAGAGGGACACAGATTGTTTCCAATGCTATTACCCACTAGGATCTAAATTCCATGTCAATCTTATCAATTACTTATCATTCAACTTTTGTTAGCAACATGGTATTCCAGATTGGATAGTCGCACCATGATTCATTTATCCATTTCTCTAGTGATGAGAATTTAAGCTTAAATACCATTTGCCCCTCTCCTAGGGCACTTGTACTGTTAGGCACTTCTGCCAATTTGCCGGCAATATTGTTTCTTAGGTACTCCTCCACCCACTGTGAGCTCCTCAAAGATAGGGGAAAGTGTTCATAGTCAACTTTGTATCCTCATAGTCTAGCCCGAATTTGGTCCGGAGGGTATGCTCACGCGCTTGGGTGTAGTAATAACTGAATCGCCCGCGCTGAGTTCTGGAACTAAGCGTGGGGAGGCGGAGCGAGGGGAAAGCCGTGCCCCTTTGAGCAGTCCCGGCCTCAGAGAGCCCGGAACTCTTGTTGGAAAGATCGTTGTTTCTCAGGGAGGCTTTTAGCAGCAAAGCGTGCCCCGCACAAGCATGGTTGCTACGCACCGGAAGCAGCCAGTTGTTTTGCTGGAGTCAGTTCTTCCGCGGGGCGGAAGAGGCATGTCTGCTTGTGTCCAGACCATTTTCAGCCCCCTTTTCTTGCAGGACCCCATGAGTAAGCTGTGGCGGCGTGGGAGCACCTCTGGGGCCATGGAGGCCCCTGAGCCGGGTAAGCGCAGGTCGATAAAGCAACTTGGCCATTCGCAGAAAAGGAGTGCCCTTCTTGCTCCTCGGAGCCTCCAGGGTACTTGGCCACAGGTGGAAGGAGAAAGGCGAAGCTGTTGTGGTAACAGCGAGTACGGCGGGCGGGGAGTGGGACCCCTCAAGGGTATCGGGTTCTTCAGAGCCCTGCCTGCCCTGCTCCTGCCGTACACCGTTGATAGGCTCTCCTCCCACAGGAGAAGCGCTGGAGTTGAGTCTGGCGGGTGCCCATGGCCACGGAGTGCACAAGAAGAAGCACAAGAAGCATAAGAAGAAGCATAAGAAGAAACACCATCAGGAGGAGGAGGCTGGGCCTACGCAGCCGTCTCCTGCCAAGCCCCAGCTCAAACTCAAAATCAAGCTGGGAGGGCAGGTCCTGGGCACCAAGAGGTGAGGCCAAGAGGGCCAGGGTTTTACATGGGGAACTTTAGGAGCAGGCAGAGATAGAAGGAGAAGCTGGGTAGGCTTTCCAGAAGACAGAGAATGGACATTGTGACTTCAGGGCCCAGGTTAAGGCAGTAAGAACACAAGAGGGTGTAGGGAAGGCTGGATGTAGCTACTGAGAAGGAGACAGTTGCTCAGCTTACAGAGTGGTTGCTTCTCTGCAGTGTTCCTACCTTCACTGTGATCCCTGAGGGTCCTCGCTCACCCTCTCCCCTTATGGTTGTGGACAATGAAGAGGAACCTATGGAAGGAGTCCCTCTTGAGCAGTACCGTGCCTGGCTGGGTGAGAAGGATCTGGAGGTGGGGAGACTGGGTTTCTCATTACACCTGGTTAAGGGAAGAGGGTTGGTTCTGAGGAGGGTGAGAATTTTGAGTCTCCCAGTTTTAACTTGGCCAAATTAGGGTTCTTCATCTCAACAGTTCTACTTCTAGCTTTCCAACTTTCCTTTCCAGATGAAGACAGTAATCTGTCCCCCTCCCCACTTCGGGACCTGTCTGGGGGCTTAGTGGGTCAGGAGGAGGAGGAGGAACAGAGGTGGCTGGATGCCCTGGAGAAGGGGGAGCTGGATGACAATGGAGATCTCAAGAAGGAGATTAATGAACGGCTGCTCACTGCTCGACAGGTAAGTTGGTTCATTCTTTGTCAATATATATTGAGATGCTTCCACGTCCCAAGAACTTTGCTAGGCAGAGGATATCAGTGTGGTGGAGAAAAAGGTTTCTGTACTCATGGAGCTGGTATTCTTGTGTGTGTTTTTGGGGGGTAAATAAGTAAATAATTTTGAAAAGCTGTAAGGTTTATAACAAAAATAGGGTGATGAAATAGAAAGTGGTAGAAAAGGGAACAACATTAGATAGGGTAGTTAGGGAACACCTCTCTGAAGAGATAACATTTCCAACCAGAGGAGCTTTTCAGGCAGAGAGACCAGCAGGTGCAAAGATCCTGAGTGGAACATGCCTAGGAGTGCTCCAGGAGAAGAGTAAGTGTGACTAAGCCACGAAAGGGTTGTATGCAGAGAAGTGATATATTTGATTTCTATTTCAATAGATTACTTTGCCTTCTTAGCGGGGGTAAGGGATAGAAGCAAGAGCAGCTAGGAAGCCATTCAAGTAGTCAAGTGAGAGATGGTGGTAGCTTGAACCAAGGTGAAGTTGTGGAGACGGAGAAAATCAGATGGATTCTGGATATATTTTTGAAATAGACACTTGTTGGCGCCTGGGGTAGTAGGGGAGAGGAATCAAGGATAACCGTGAGTTTTTGGCTTGAGCATTTATCCAATTGATGCTATTTATTGAGATAAAAAGATTTAAAACAAAATCAAACAAACCTCCGGAGAGGTGGTACACAGAGTTTTGGTACTCGAGGCAGGCAGATAACATTACTAATGCTTTTCCCCTTGAAAGTCAAGGATCTAAAGCTGAAAGTCGGGAGACCTGGGAGAAGGCAGTATTAAGGGCTCCTGGAGAGGGTGCTCATTCCATCCCTCTCTCAAGGCCTGTGCTCAACACCCAGCTTTCCCTATCTCCTCTTCCCCTCCACCTTTTGAGCGGACCTCGCCTCTCCACTTTCTGACACCAGCCGGTATGTCTCTCCCCAGCGAGCTCTGCTCCAGAAGGCGCGGAGTCAGCCTTCCCCGATGCTGCCGCTGCCTGTGGCTGGGGGCTGCCCCGCCCCCGCCCTCACCGAGGAGATGCTGCTGAAGCGCGAGGAGCGGGCACGGAAGAGGCGGCTGCAGGCGGCGCGGCGGGCAGAGGAGCACAAGAACCAGACTATCGAGCGCCTCACCAAGACTGCGGCGCCCAGCGGGCGGGGAGGCCGAGGGGCCGCGCGGGGCGAGCGGCGGGGAGGGCGGGCAGCTGCCCCGGCCCCCATGGTGCGCTACAGCAGCGGGGCACAGGGTTCCACCCTTTCCTTCCCACCTGGCGTCCCCACCCCCGCGCCAGTGTCTCAGAGGCCGTCCCCATCTGGCCCTCCTCCTCGATGCTCTGTCCCCGGCTGCCCCCACCCGCGACGCTACGCCTGCTCCCGCACGGGCCAGGCGCTTTGCAGCCTTCAGTGCTACCGTATCAACTTGCAGATGCGGCTAGGGGGACCCGAGGGCCCCGGATCCCCACTTTTGGCTACTTAAGGCCCTTACTTAACCCGGACTCTTCGCCCGCTTCCCTACCTCCTGTTTTCAGTAATTTCCCCCACCTATTAAATTTAATCCGGTGCCTCGACTTGTACAGAATTGGGGGAATGGGGTATGGGCAGGTCAATTCCCCGTACAGACATCCCACCGGAGCTTGCGTCGACGCCTGGGAAATGTCCGCCAGGCCACAAGAAGACCGCCGCTCTGCTTCCAGACTCAGGCGGACGTCTGGGCCCCCGCCGCTTCCTGTCGGATTACCTGGCGTGGTCGGGTATTTGACGTCATCCCAAAAATAGGGTTTAAGCCAATCCGGGGAAACTTTGCTCTTCTGGACGGCTGTTCATTGGTTGATAACTCAAAGTCTGTTCTATTGTCCACATTGGCTACCGTCGCTGTCAGTCAGGGCCGCGGGCGAACCTTACCCCACTCTTTGTCTGTGCAAGCGCTTGTTGTCTGGGAGAGTGGCGGAGGCGCTGTAGGAGATTGGTCACAGGGAGTAACCTCTAGTCCGTTCCTATTGGCCCGCCCTTCGGAGGGCGATGCTGATTGGTAGGATGGAGAAACCTGGGTCCCAGTTGGCAGAGCTCTCCCCGGATGGAAGCTCCGGCCGCGGAGTGATGGTGGCGGTAGCGAAGATGGGCCGGGCAGGGACCGTGGCGGTGGCGGCAGGGGCGGGGTTGCTGGCGGTAGAGAAGGCTGTGGTCTTCAGGGGGCTGTAGGTGGAGGCATGGCTCGGGCCAGCAGCGGGAACGACAGCGAGGAGGCCTGGGGGGCACTTCGGATGCCACAACAGCAGGTATCCCAACAGCTCCAAAAGCCTATCACGACAGCCATTTATTTCTATTTCCCCTTTCCTTGTCCCTTCCTTTCGGGGGCTGGGGGAGGAACTCACGGAGCCAAAGGCACTGTGAAGTTCCTAAACATGTCCCTTCGCTCTTTGTCTAAACTTTGTAACGTAGATGTAGTTGACTTTGCCTGCAGCTTCACAGACCCCATCCCATAGCTGCAGTGGAATCTTGCAGTGGTTCTCCAGTGGCCAGAGGCATAGTGAGGCCCCAGGGAGGCTCCCTCTGTCTTGCAACAGTTATTTGTGATGTTTTTCTGTGTGCCTATTGTCACAACAGAGTCCGGCAGCGTCTTCTCTTGAGGGAGCAATTTGGAGAAGAGCTGGAACCCAGACTCGCGCCCTGGATGCCATCCTTTATCATCCACAGCAATCCCATCTGGTTGGGAGCACTGCTCTGGGTCTCACACTGCCCCTCTTCTTCTCTAGGAAGCCTGAGTCCCAGGGGTGGAAAGATCCAGCTTGGGAGTGGGGAGTGGCAGACCTTGGGGGCTGATGAAAGCATCTTAGTTTTGGAAATTAACCTTAAACCCCTTACCCGTTGTTTGAGACTTTGAGATAGCTCAGACCGTCTTCTGGCTTCTCCGCAAACATTCCCTTAACAGAAAACACCCTGGGGAGCTAGGCTTAAGTGTGAGAGAAGTCTTCTATATACAGAGCTGAAATCTGCCTTTATATGTCCACACCAGGCATCTTATTCTCTAGTCTGATTCTTGCTATTCCAAATCTTCTTCCATGTTAACAGCCCTTCAGATAATTTGAACACTCCTCTCAGCATCACTCTTCCGCCTCGCCATAGATCTCTGAGATAAACTTGGTTCACACGGTGGGATTGTGTATGTGCATGCAGAGTGGGTGGGTGGACAGTGCCTTGGGCTGGAATCTCCCCTGGTTCTAAGTGCCTCCTTGCTCCCAGCTTCGAGAGCTGTGCCCAGGAGTGAACAACCAGCCCTACCTCTGTGAGAGTGGTCACTGCTGCGGGGAGACTGGCTGCTGCACCTACTATTATGAGCTCTGGTGTGAGTCTCCAAGGCGGCTATTCTCGGGTCCTTCTGCCTACCCTCCCTTGGACCTCAGAATTCCAGCCTTCAAGGACCCTTCTCTGCATGGGAAGTATCTAAGACTCTCCCTCCTCACCCCCTGCAGGGTTCTGGCTGCTCTGGACTGTCCTCATCCTCTTTAGCTGCTGTTGCGCCTTCCGCCATCGACGTGCTAAACTCCGGCTGCAGCAACAGCAGCGGCAGCGTGAGATCAACTTGTTGGCCTATCACGGGGCATGCCATGGGGCTGGCCCTGTCCCTACCGGTTCACTGCTTGACCTTCGTGAGTGGCTTGAGGCTCTGGGCTCGCTACCAGTGGCCCCTCCCAAACCGGGACCTTGAATCATCCCTACATTCTCTTTTCAGACGTTTCAATGCACATTTTTCCCTAATAGGAGACACCACTACCCTACCCCTGGTTGCCTTCAACCAATCATGCCATTCTTTCCTGCAGGCCTCTTCAGCGCCTTCAAACCCCCAGCCTATGAGGATGTGGTTCACCGCCCTGGCACACCGCCACCTCCTTACACTGCAGCCTCAAGCTGCCCCTTGACTGCTTCCAGTGACTGCACCTGCTGCTCCTCTGCTTCTAGCTGCCCTGTCCACTGCGAGGGAACAAATGTGGAAGGTGTTTCCTCCTACCAGAGTGTCCCCCATCATCAGGAGGGTGAGCCTGGGGCAGGGGGGAGCCCTGCCCCTGTACCACCCTCTTGCCGCTATCGCCACCTGACTGGTGACTCGGGTATTGAGCTCTGCCCTTGTCCAGACTCCAGTGAGAGCGAGCCAGTCAAGGAGGCTAGGGCTAGTGCCACCCTGCCAGATCTGGAGGACCACGCCCCTTGTGTAGTGCCTCTGGATCCCATATCCCAGGTCTCTCCTGTGGGGCTGGCTTCCAGTCAAGGGGACATCCCATAAGCAGTTTGGGGTGGGTGGATGGGTTCCTTGTCCACCAGAAATAGCCCTGGTCACAACTCCTCGAGTTCTCCTTGGCCTTTCCCTGTCCTCCTAGAATCTGCTTTCAGGGCTGGAGTCCTGAGGAGAGGGGCAGTGTCTGGGGGACTGTGCTAGCTCTACCCCCCAAGACATACACAGGAGCCTTTGATCTCATTAAAGAGATGTGAACCAGCTGCTTGTGGATTTGGGTGGACTAGTGCTCAACTCACTGCATTGCACTTGACCTGAGTGGATTTGGAGGGGACAGAAAATGGCCACTTTTCCCACCTTCTCTGAAGGACAGCAGGCAGCCCTAAGGCCTGGACTGGACTAAGACCTCTAGGTGAGGCAAAGCTGGCAAAAGCAATAGCGTTTGGCATGGTTTTCCAATTTATTTAAAAAAATAGACTCTGAATTCACATTCACCCCAGGGCTATGTGGGATGACAGTAAGGAGACACCTGAGATGAGCTGAGGAGGGTTTGAAGCACTGGTATCTGAAGGCTGGGGACAGAAGCTAGAGACCTTGTCCCTCTAGTGCAGAGTGGCACAAGGGGCCTGGCTCCCCTCCCATCCTTCCCTGTCAGTAGTCTTCAGCCATGACCAGTAGGACAAGGCTGGTCCAGCCGTGGAAAGGGCGGCAGCCCATGCCCCGCCCATCCCGGTCACTGTACTGCTCCCACAGGAAACCCGTGGCCTGGTACTGCCGCCTCACATTGCCCACCACGTTGGCACGGAGCTCACTGTGGAGCTTGGCAGCCCGGGCCTGGTGGGGACCCTTCAGATGCCCATAATGGTGGAGAGCCCCCAAGGCTAGGTAGTTGACGTTGAGCCACACAGCACCCCGCCAGTAGGGGGGATCATGCTCTGAATTGCGCTGGCCATAAAAGGGGCTGGAGGCTGCAAGGGAGCGCAAACCAAAGGGGCTCCAGAGATGGCGGCTGTCAGCTAGAACATCCAGCAGGGGCCCAAGGCGGGATGAATTGGGGTCCAGCAGCCGCAGCAGCAAGGGGAAAAGACTGACATAACCCAAGGCATCCACATACTGTAAGTGAGGGTGGGGCCGGCCCACCACTCGCACCAGCCCCTGAGGGGGCCGAGGCTTCAGTTGCACTGCTTTTGTGTGGTTCCCAAAGTCTGCAAAGACTCCTAGCTCTGGGGCCCAGTGCAGCTCATCCAGGCTCTCTGCTGCCTCCAGTGAGGCAGCCAGAGGACCCAGTTCTGCCACTGCCTCAGCCTCTCCCAGCTGCTTTGCCAGCCGCACCAGCACACGGGCACCCAGTGCCACCCAGCACCACAGGTCCAGGTGCCGCTCAGTGGCTGAAGGGTGTGAAGCCCGGGGATAGTCATCCAGCCCTGAAGGCAGCGTCTTGGGGTTCAATAGGGTGGGCAAGGCTGGGTCCCGGCCCCGCCAGCGATAAGATAGTGGCACTGGCCCTGCCTGGCTCTGATGGAGCCAGGAGAACCAGGCATGCAGGCGAGGAAAGGCCCTGCGGAGGAAGTCAATGTTGGCAGGGTCACCACTCTCTAGCATGTGGGCTACAGGCAAAAGCAGGGTTGGGGGGTTGGCATGGGCCGCCCGTTGCACCAGGAATTCTGGGGGCACCCGGGCTCGGGCCTCATCCCCCAGCACCTGCTCCCGCCCAATCCAGCCATCAGCATTGAGCAGCCCCAGCCAGTGGCCTAGGGCCTCCCGAGTGAGGCGGGGATCCCACCGCTGGACCAGCAGCTGGTGAAAGCCCTCATCCCAAAGGAAGCCTCGTGGGAAGAATGACCGAGAGGGCACTGCTGTGAAAAGAGGGACAGGTGGAAAGAGGGCTGGGTCCACCTTCTGCTCAGATCCCTCAACCCCCATATCTGGCAACACCAGCCCCTGTCCATAGAAATAGCCAATCCCACCAAGGAGGCCGCTCAGGGCAGCCCAACCCAAAGCCTGCTCCTCAGGGCTCAGGCCCTTCTCCTTCAGCTGGAAGGTGTTCTCAAAGCGCTCTCTAAAGGCTTCAGCATGGCTCTCCAGGGCCTGGGTCAGCAGGCTGCCTGCCAGCTGCTCCAGGGCTTGCCTTCCTCCTACCCGGGCACTGCCTGATTCAAACACCAACTCCATGGAAAAAGGGACTTTCACCGTCACCTGTTGTATCAAGAATTGCCCTTGTCCCTGTCCTTGCCCACTTGGGCCTCTGTCTTCCCACTTCAGAGATCCTGGCAAGCCAAGGTAGCGTTCAGGGGAGGCCCCTGGGGGCCGATGCTGAAACCAGCTATTTAGGCGACTCTTCACCATCTCTGTCAGCAAGGGAAGTCCTGGATTGGAGGTCCAGAAGACATTGTAGCTTGAAGGGAAAAAGATAAATAAGAAATATTATTTAGGAGGAAGTGGTGGGGATTATAAAGAGAAATATAAAGTGATCAGGAGTCAGGATGGAAGGGTCTTGGCAATGCAGAGGACATAGAGCCTGGTGAGAAGAAAAATAACTGGCAGGAAAAAGAGTAGAGTGGGGGAGATAGAAATCAGGCTAAGTCAGCATCCATACCACCCTTACCATCACCACTCACTCTCTTCCCCGTTACCTGCCATACTTGGGGGCAGTATCCCCTGGACTGGTTGGTGCCAGAATTGTAAAGCGGAAGTCACCAAGTTCACTGGTGTGCCCACTGATGAACTTCAACTGCCCTTTGGCCACAGGCTCTGGTACTAGGACTTCCTTGCCATCTGTCACCACATAGAAGAACAGGGACACCAAAGGGAGGGCAGAGGTATCTGAGGCCTGGATGACCAAGGAGGACAGAAAAACCCAGCATTAGATTGGCAGTCTCTCTTGAGAATCCGCCTTAGTGAGGCAAAGGGACACCAGGCAGGAGCAACAGGGTAAACAATATACATCTGTCAGTGTTGAGGGTCACCGAGGGTAAGCACCCGTGGGATAAAATAAAGAGCCTTGCACAGGGTTCTCTGGGAAATAACAAAGTACTTTTGTGCCATGTACTATGCTAAGAACTCTACATATTATTTCCTTTAATTCTTACAATCCTGTGAGTTAGGTGCTATTTTTATCTCCATTTTACAGACAAGAAAACCAGGATTAGAGACAGTAAATAGAGATGGTCATACAGGTAGTTGTTTAAGGCAGGCGGTCAGATTCAGCCCAGGTCGTCAGACTCAGAGTCCCAGCTATTAGCCCTCACTTCATACTGCACTTCTGGCAGGAAAGGAAGGGTGGAGGGAATCTGGGCTGGGGGAAGGGTGTCCTGAGGCCCTGACCTGAGGCTCTACAGTCACTCTCCAGCTCCAGTCCCCTCCGTGCTGACCCCCAGGCCTCTTGACGAACTCAGTGGTGAGCCGTAAGGCCCCATCCTGGATGTGTTGCCGCCCGAAGGAGAGACCGTCGTGGAACTCCCAGCCATAGGGACCCACGCCGTCCCCCTGCTCACACGTGTGCCTGAGTTTAGGGGTCCCTGGGGTGGCGCCCTGCTGCGCCCACATCAATCCTGGGGGTAGAATGGCCACGTAAGTCAGAAAGCAGGGGACCTGTCCCTCTGGATCTCCGAGAACTTCAGGGTCATCCCTCTTCATAACTCTCCTGATCCACTCCTCCCCACCCTTGCTCTGGCGTGAAGCTGGGGCGCCCAGATTGAGTCCGCCCGCCCGCCTGCTGCGGGGCCCGGTTACCGGTGAGGAGTGGCTGCGGGCTGCGGGTCTTCATGCCGAAGTAGACGTGAGGGCGGTAGGTGCCCCAGAAGAGGTCCGGGGCCACGGCGGGGCTGGAAGAGTCGGGAGGCAGCGCCGGGGGCGCGGAGTGCAGCGTGACGGCCCGCCGCGCACGGTGCCACGCCAGCAGCCAGCTTCCCGACAGGCCCAGGGCCAGACACAGGACCCCGACGGCCAGAGCCGCTACCACGGCCGCGCCCCGGGCCCCGCCGCCCCGGCCGTTCCGTCGTGCTGGACCGCCCCGAGCCGCCCTCTCAGCTGTCCGCGCTCCGTCTGCTGGTGCTCCGCGGCGCCGCCGCTCGCCCCGAGCCATCCTGGTCCGGAGGTCGGCGTCGCGGAGGCTCGGAGAGGCGGCAACGGACCCCGAATCCGCCTGGCCGCACCTGCCGGCCCTTGCCTCCCGCTCCTCCCGCTCCTCTTCCGTCTCCAGCCGGAAGTCCCGCCCCGCCACGTCAGGTTAAGTCCGGGACCCCGGAACCGCCGTCGCCGGCGTGGCATAGGGCTCATCAGCCGGGTCGGTATCTTGGGTCGTGTCCAGTGGGTCAGTGTTTATTTGGTGTCCTTAGGGAGTTCACAAGCTAGTGGAAAAAAACAATCTCACACTGGGCTTTTTTTGTCTTCAAATAACGACTACATATTAAGAACTGGAGACTATTCCGAGTGTTTTACATTTAACCGCTCCCTACCTCCCCCCAATCAGGTGGCTGAAAACTGGCCTAGAAAGTTCAAGTAACTTGGCCCTGGCTACAGAGCCGGGAAATGTCTCGCTTGGAACCCAGGTGTATCTGAATCAGACTGGATCATTTTGCCCACACCCCATGCCTTCTTTCCTAGTGAAGTGGAGGGTGCAGGAGGGGACCCAAGAAGCAGCCTGAGATTTGTTCCAACAATCTTTAAGCAACCCTGTGACTTTAGATGGTCATATGTCCATTCAGTCTAGGATTCTTTATCTAGATGAATCCTAAAAGGACCATAACGGTGGTGCATGAACTAAAAGAATGCCTTTTATTTTTCTTGTCTACAACCTAGGAAGCAAAGGAGCTTAAGGGAAGGATCATTATGTCCAACTCTGGGAAAGCTGTAGGAAGGAGGTAGCATGTGCACCTCAGATTGACCTAGAAGAGTCAACATTGTAGACGGTGGTTCAGAAATGCAACTTAGATTCATACTTCTCAGCAACAGCTCAGCATAAAAGGTATTTTCATCAAGTACAAATCCCTATCATCCTTTATAAAACCCTTCTCCACACCCTTATGTTACTCTAGCTATCAATGCACCTCCCATCCAAACTCATTATATAAAACTAATACTTGATGCTGCATGCTGACTTCCTATTTCACTATAATCTGACTTCTGGCCCCACTCTCCACTGCTAAGACTTTTTGCTCATTAAGGGATCATCTGCTGACCAAACCCAATGCTGAGTCCTGTCTTTATCTTTCTTGCTATTATTGTACCTGGTCTGTATCTCTATTGTAGCACTTATTACATACCTGAGTTTCATTATTCATATTTGTATCTCAGTACTAGACTACAGGCACAAGGTAGATGCTAAATATTTGTAAATTCAACAAATGTTTATTGCACACTCTGTATCAGGCACTATGCAAGGTGCTGGGGACACAGAGAAAACAGCCCCAACCCCAGGTTCATAATCTAGAAGCACAGCACCAGCACTCAATCCATGTTCAGAGCGATGTTTGAACCATCCCCATTTTTATAGACGAGGAGAGTGGTTAAGTCTGGCCAAAGATAATAGCAAGTTAACCACAAATATGGGGGACTCAAATCTAGGTTGTCAGTATCCTTTTGACTATGGCATAAAGTCTCTTAGATAACAACACCCATTACACTCCCAGTAATGTTCTAGGTACTTTATAGATATCAATTCATTTAATCTTCTCAACACTCCTATGAGGCAGATACTATTATCCCCATTTTACAAATGAGGAAACAGGCACTGAGAGACCAAGTAATTTGTCCAAAGATACATAACTCCTTAAGGGCAAACCCGGGATTTCAACCCCACGTACTCTGACTCTTTACTACACTATACTGCCTCCTGGTAGTTTTCTTTTTTTAAAGGGAGAGGGGAAAAACCAGCCCTTTGAAGACAGCACCCTTTTAAGCAGGGAAGCAGTATGGTAATGCTGTGGGAGAGTCATGGGAAATGTATTTGGCAAAGTACACAGCAGCCAGTGTCCAGAGATCTGTGACTGCCTAGCTGAGCATTCAGAGTTCTTCTCTAAACCAGTGGTTATCAACCATGTTTTCCTACAACCAATGATAAGAAATAACTCTATGTTGCAACCAAGCACATGCAGATACACACACATACATATACTTTACACAGTATATATCTAGATCTATCCACCTATCTACATATTCATGATTAAATACTTCCCATTCCATGTGCCATGAACTCTGATACTTTTTATTCTATTTATTCTATTCTGTTTTATAAAGGCTGATTTAACCCCCTAAATTGATTTCATGATCCACACTAATGGGTGGTAACCTAGTATGAAAAATACTAGGCACTGTTCTCTGAAACAAGAAGTGGTGAGACATAAAACCAGTGATGTGCTTTGGAAAGATAAACTAGAACAGCAGCAAAAATTAGAAAAAAGGATACTTGGTGGAAGAATGTAATGATACAAGACAATGAATGGGAATGGACAGAATATTTCAGAGCTTTTGTTTAGACAGAGTATTCTGAACTTACTGACTGGATATGCAGGGAAAAGGAGAGGGCAGAACCAGAGATAATGCTGTAGTTTCCAGCCCAGGTGGCTGAGCAGATGAAGTATCTTTAAAAGGAATGGGGGAGTCAGGGGGAGAGACAAGTATATGTGTATGTAAGATCATCAGTTCTATTTTGGACAAAGAGCGTTTGGGATTTGGAGGATACTGGTAGTAGGTAACCCGACTATAGCACAGAAGTTGAGATTAGAGCCAAACAGAAATGCAGGATTTAACCCGAGAGGGCAGTTCAAGATATGACAGAAGATGAGATGCCCCAAAAATAAAGAGAGAAGAAAAAGAAGGATAGAGTAGTACACCCTTACTGTTAAGAAAAGAAAAAGGACCCAAGAGGAAGACAGGTTCCACAAAGGAGTGAATTGAGAGTGGCAGAGGCTACTGAGATGGAAAGATGAGGACTGAGAAAACAGCACTGGATTTGGCTAATAAGTCTAAGAGGCACCTTGAGTGAGTGGTGGGAGAAGCCCAATTCAAAAGCGGTTGAGTGACGGTAGGAAAGTAAAATAAATTCAAGTTTGTCCCGACCCCTCGGTGATCTTGTCTTGTCTCAGAAACGTTGGTTGGATTTGTAGTCACAAGGCTCTTTCGTTGTTGTTGGTGGCGTTCTGTGGCCCTCCAGATAGTGATTTGAGTGATTAAGTCAAGCTCTTAAGTGTCCTAGTCCGAGGCTAAAATCTGCTTGTTGGTCTCCTCCGCACTGTCAGGACCCGGTCCCAGCGCCTGGCTTGTCCCCGCTCCCCGCCGCGCTACTGGCCTGGGCGCTCCTGGCCTGGATGTGGGAGGCGAAAGCAGTGAGCATTTCCCGGGCGGTGAGGTGGGCGCCGCGCATCACCAGGCGATGCCCGTCTCCTGGCGAGGAAACAAACGCGTCAGGCCCGGGAGGCCGGGGGGCTGGACTGAGGGCGCGCGGGCTGCCTGCCGCCCCTGCCGCCCCACTCCCCACCGCGCCCACCGAAAAGCACGTCCACGCAGGGTTCGGAGCCGTCGTGCCGCACGTCCGCAATCACCACGCAGTTGAGGTTGGTGGAGCGCACCTTCTCGCTGCTCACCGCCTGGAGGAAGGTCCTGCGGCGAGAAGGCGGCGTGAGATCAGGCCGAGGGGTGCCAGACCCCGGCGGGAGGAAGGCGCGCCCCTTCCCGTCCTCACGCCCTCCCCCGCGTACCTCGTCGACTCCACGTCCTTCTCGAAGGGGCAGAATTGAACCCGAACCTGCTTGACAGACCGCAGCCCGAGCCGAGCCAAGCCCGCCGCCATAGTGACTTCTGCCCCGGAAGGACTCGCGCAGGCGGAAGTGTTAGCTGGACGAGAAGCTGTGAATGGCCGCGCTGCCGCGGACCCGGCCCCTGCCGCCTGCCGTCCGCCGTCGGGCGCGCTGGCCCCCAAACCGCCGGCCCGGCTCCCCAGCCCCACAGGAAGAGGAAGGTCAGGAAGGAGAGAGGTGGTTTCAGCACAGGGCATGGAGGGGCCCAGAGTAAGCGGTCAGTAAATACTGCCTATCTTGTGAAGATAGTGAAGACAACGAATACATAGTGCAAAAGCCGTTTGCACTTGGCTCCGATAACACGGCCGTCAGCTGCAGCCTTTCCCCTTGCGTATCCTGCTGTGCCAGGTCTAGGTTAAGGCCATCCTAAGTGCTGGTCTCTTGCAAGGAGAGGGCACTACCACGGCAGGGATTATACACCTACCGGGGGTAAACCCCGCTCAGGTAACTGAAGATTAAAAATGGTGGACTGAATAACCAAAGCTTACATGTGAAGGTCCTACAGCCCATTATTCTTAAATGACTGGAAATAGTAATGGGGAAAGGAGTACAGGGTAATACAGCTCTTGGGACCGATCGAGGTGTAGAAATGCCTATTCCACCTCTGTGGTTCTTGATGAGTTAACTTTGTGTTTAGCCTGGCTCCTGGGACTTCAGAGGAAGTGGCATCTAGGCTCTCTGCTTTCTATTGCTTTTTCTTTTCCCCTTTCCCCTGGGATCCAACCCTATAGTCTTCCCCCCAGCGTCTAGCCCTCCTTCCAGCATCTATGCCTTCACTGGTGGGGAACCAGGCCTGAGCCTCCCAAGGATGCTGACCTCCAGGTTCCAAGCTGTGGTTTTGCCCTTTACTCTGGCTCCCAGGCACTGGAGTAATCTTGGATCCTTAGCTTGTAAGTCCAGGCTCTCTGGAGCTTGTGGTTCTCAGGTATGCTTTCTTCCAAGCTCCCAATTGTAGGCTTTTAAAATATGCATTTCTAAATGTCTGAGCTTTTCCAGCCAGAGGTGAGGAGCTCTGACTTGCAGGTTTCAGATCAGGCTCCTTAGGATTCAGAACTGGTCCCCAGGCAGGAAAGAAAAGGCAAGTGCCAACGCCGGCCCTGGTTTTGCCTCAGGGCAAGCCAGGCCTGCTGATTTCCCACCAGGTAAGCCTCAGGGCTGGGTCCCCCTCCCCACAGTGTGCTTAGCCGCTGAGCTGTCTGGGTTGGGGGTCCTTCAGGCCGAAGAGGGGGCTCCAAGCTCTCCAGGCTATTGAGGCTGCCGCTGGGCAATTCCGTGGTCTGGACCTCATTACATGCACCTGGTAAGGCAAGAGTGGAAGGCAGGTGACTGGAAGCAGGGGCGGGAGGATGCTGAAGCCAGATCAGAGATGAAGATGGTGGAGGGGGCACATCAAGTAGTGAGCTAGGGGCAAAAGAGCCTAGAGTTGGGAAGTGAGAGTGACTCACAGCAAAACCTGTGGACTCGAGTCTTGGGCAGGGGCTGCTGCAGTAGGCACAGCAGGGCCCCATCCAGCTGCTGGAAGATGCTGAGCATGAGCAGGGTCTGGCGAAGTTCAGGGGACAGGCCCCACTGCTCCTCCTCCAGCAACTTCCGGACCACTCCAAAGTCTTGTCTGAGCTGCAGCGCCCCCTGCAGGCTGAACGCCAAGGTACAATTTGGCTGCCTGACCCTCCTGCCTCTCCAAACTGTTCTGCCCCCGCCCATGCCCTCCCTTTGTCCAGTTCCATTCATCCCCCTGCCACTGCCTCCTTTCCTCCCCACCTGAACCGGATCTTATGGGTGAGGATATGGTCAAGCCAGGCACCCAAGATGGCAGTCAGCGCCTGGCCGAGGGCAGGGGCCTGGGCTTGAGGTGGCAATCCTTGCAATCCTTGCAACACAGGCTCCAGTACAGTACGGACCACCAACCTAGCATACTCACTAGGAATGCTGGGTAGTTCTGGAGTGAGAGAAGAGAAAGGACAGAATATGAGACTATGGAGATCCACTGAGTCCCTAATGGGGTGTTTGGGGGAAGAGAGTAAGATTGGGGGGTGCACAGAAGGTGAGAACAAGGGTGGAGACAGGAGTGGAGCCAGGATTTGGAGGGGTTGGGAACGGTTACCCCCTGGAAACCCTGGAAACGAATACTGGGATGAGGAGTTACCAGGACAGAGACGATGCCGCCAGTACCGACCCCGTGGCATGTAGAGTTCAAAGCTCTGTGTGGCTTGTTTATGACATTCTTGGGAAAAGAGACTTAGCGACTCTTCAGGCAGAAGCTGTGGGGATAGGAAGAAAATAAAAGGGGCTTATCTGTTAGGGACTTGTCAAGTCATGATGCTCTTCTAAACTGAGATGTTTAACCTGGCATCTACAAAGCCCCAGAATGGAATCGTACGCATAACTATATGGGCCTGGGCATTTTCTGAGGAGAGATGCCCTAGCTTTTATTGGGTTTTCCAAAAGGTCTGGACCCATAAAGATAATGGACAGCTGCCCAGGATTACCTTGCTCTCTTCAGCTTGGTTCAGAGGATGGAAATACTCCAGGTTAATTTTATTCTATAGGAACATTAATAGGAAAAAAACAGGGAGACAACCTCACCACCACCAATGATTAAAAGCAAATGCTAGAAAGAGGTGTCTGCAGAGCACACAGAGGCTGAAGAAAGAAAGGGGAATTGTACGATCTTCTGTCTGTCATCTATGAAAGGAAAGCAGGAACTGGAATGTAGACCAAGAGCAAGGACTATAACTTTCTGAGATTCAGGAGCCTTTGGAATGTCTTTACACTGAATATTCTTTACAGCCTACTTCCATTTCTGCAGAGCAGTGTAAACCCATAAAGCAAGAAAAGGCCCATTTGCTGGTTTGGTTTCTTTGGTTTGAGAGGTTTTGTTTTTGGAGGGGGAGAGGACAGCAAAAAAGAAGTGTCTCTACTCCACAACCCATCTTGGAGGAAAAGGACCCCAAGAAATGGGGTATGTGGTGGCAGGTCTGTAAAGAGGTGACTGGATGCCTGTGCGCCTGAAGAGAGAAAGCGGCCCTCAGGGGGTGGGGGTGGGAGGAGCAGACATGAGGACGGGTGGAATCTATGTGGCTCCTGGTACGTGTGCTGACAACAGCCTATCTAAATCCAAATTCTTCCTCTCTTCTCCTAAAAACCAGAACCCCTTTCTTCCTTATTTATACCAAGGAAATTACCCTTTTATCAACTGATATTTCTTAGAAACTTCTGCATTGAACACTCTGAAGAAATACAAGTTCACACTAAGAGACTGTCTTTCTCTATGGAATATCACTGTCTAGCTGGAGAGAAAACTCACAGTGTCTGATTCTTCTTTTGCATCCCAGTGCTGTATGTGGTGGAATGGCCAGAGCATACACCTGACTCTGCAATCACCAGGCAGAGGAGCAAGGCAGGTAGGGTGCTTTGCACAGTGTTTAGTTCACATGGTGAGCACATTGTCCCTGTCCATTTTGCTCTGTTCTCACTACAGCTACCAAGAGCTGGACCCCTCTCATGTTATGTCTGCCCACCTCCCTTCCATCCTGATCACTATAGCTGGACCAGACTCTATCACTGTCTTTACTCTTTCCCTCCTGCTCTTACAATGGCTCCTCATCACTTATGAGATAAAGCCCCAAATCTGTGGGCTGGTGTTCAGTGCCCTCCACAATTTGATGCGAATTTGCTTACGCCTCCACAATCTCCCACCCCCATCCTGGACATATGCATGTGAAGGCACACACACAGAGCTTCTGCTTTGGTTAGGCCATTTCCCCACTACTCTCCCTAGGAACTATGAACTGCCCACTTCCAGTAACTGCTGCTGCTCCTGTAAGGCCATCCAGCCACCAGTTCGAGCCATAGGCCCTGTATAGAGCTTCTGCCACCACATGCCCACCATGGCCTTCCCTCCTCAGAGCTCCCATGACCATCACTGTCCACCCTACTCATGAGGAGCCTGTTTGGGGGCATGTTGAGCTGAAGGAGGTAGCAGTAAATGGAGGTGGAAATGCCCAACAGGCAGATGCAGATTGTGGATTAAGGCTAAAGTATGGGGGTCCACAGCACCAAGGCACTGTGGGTAAGTAGGAATGCAGAGAGAAAAGGAGCAGAGGGACAAAGACTGTACTCTACAGCCATGCTCCTATTCAAGGCAAAGAGGAGAAATCTGGACAGGAAGGAAAAACAAAAGACAGACATTTTTCTTTTCTTTCTTTCTTTCTTTCTTTCTTTTTTTTTTTTTTTTTGAGGAAGATTGGCCCTGAGCTAACATCTCCTGCCAATCCTCCTATTTTTGCTGAGGAAGACTGGCCGTGAGCTAACATCAGTGCCCGTCTCCCTCCACTTTATATGTGGGATGCCTACCACAGCACGGCTTGACAAGTGGTGTGTAGGTCCGCACCCGGGATCCAAACCAGTGAACCCCAGGCCACCGAAGCAGAATGTGCGAACTTAACCGCTGTGCCACTGGGCTGGCCCCAAGACAGACATTTTTCCATAGTAGGAATAGATAATGTACAAAATAGGGAAAAATTAGAAGTATAATAGTTTTATTCAGAAGTTTAGAAGAAAATAAGAAAACATTAGAAGAAACAGCCAAGAGTGGATGAAGGTTACCACCGTGGAAAAGAAATCTGAGGTAGGGGTGGAGGGCAATTAAAGCGCCATTTGTTCATTAGAAGCCTTCTAAAATAATACTCTATTTCACTTTTAAACTATGGACTTGTATCACTTAAATAAAAACATAAATTACATGTTTAGAAATTACATGTAGGGCTGGTAACTAGTAAGTGAAAGGAAAGATTCAATCATTTATCTTGCTTTTTCTCTACAAAATATACCTCTGAATAACCAAATAATTAATAAGGGAAAGTTTGACTTTATAGGAGTAATCCAACTAATCAGTGCAGAAGGAATAATAGAATTGGAACATCATCACTTTGCACTCTCTAATGAAATAATGCATCTAGGCAGTGATCATCAGTGGCTGTTAACATCACAGAATGAGAGCCTGACATGGGGGGCGGGGTACAGAGGGAATAAATTGACCGTGACTGGATAATTGTTAAAGGCTTACTGGTAGGAATATGGGGGTCCACTATACTCTTCTACTTTTGTATATGTTTGAAATTTTCCATAATAAAAAGCTAAATAAAGAACAAAAAATGAACAGAGCCAGAAAAGATAAATTTAGCAGAGACTCCAAGGAGATTCTAAGTCACTGAGATGTTCTACCTCCACCACCACCACTCCATCAACCCCAAAACTGGGCACGGAACCAGGTCTTAAACTGCCACTGTCAGGGCCTCTGCTGTCCTCACCTGAATCTGCGCAGCCAGCTTCCGGATCTCTAGGCCCAGCTGCTGCTCCACCTCCAGGGCCAAGCTTTCCTCTGAGGCCAGGGTAGACAGAGCTTCTGCCTCACGCAATAGAGGCTTTGGCAGAAACAGGGAGTGAGGTCTGAGCCCAGCCCAGGCTGCTCCCCTACCTACTCCCGAGCTACTCACAGGTAAGTCCTTCTGGATCAGGAGCAGGAAGGAACCTGGGGCCCATGCTGCCAGATACTGTTGAGCTCTTCCCCAAAACCAGAGCAAGGTGGTCTGCAGGGTACAGAGCCCTAGGGCAAGGGGTGCAGGACCTGGGGGAGTGGGACACAAGTATCTGAGGGACCAGGGAGCTCCTTTGGTAGGAGGCAGGCTTCAAGACAGGGGGAAGGAATAAAGTGGATATCCTCAACTGTTCTATTCCCCTATTCCCAGCCCCTTGTCTTACCTGGAGGCTGACAGAGGAGCAGCCCTGACTTGGGTTCTTGAAGAGCATCCAGGAGAGGAGGGAAGAGCTGTTGCAAAAGCTCAGTGGTGTGAGAAGATGCAGGAAGGCTGCTCTGACCTCCACCAGCAGATCCCAAAGCCTGGCAGAAGCCTGAGGAAGAGGGGGTATGGTTTGATGGGGAAGGGGTATCCTGGAACTTGTGTCACTCCCAATGCCCCTTCTTCTCACCTTGGTCCCAGCTCCAGATAACAGACTGATGAAATAGGTTGTCACACAAAGAAGCCAGCTCCTTCTCACACTCCTGAGGCAGGGATGCTAGTGGGAGAAATGACTCGAGCCTGAAAACTAGACCTCTCTTTTCCATAATCACTGCCCACTCGATGAGGGAAGAGGGTAGGCTTCCCCCAAGACGCAAGACTGGGGTGGAAAGCAAGACTTTGCCTTGAAAGCTCTGAAGCTATAGCCTGAACCCCAAAGGGGAAAGGGGGTGTTCATTCTAAAGGGCCTGCTTTTATAGCCAGGCTGGCAGGTGAGTGAGGTGGCTAGGGAGAAGGAAGAGACCCCAGCCTTCCCAAACACGCACCCAAACCCATCACTCACCCTGACCCAGTGCCTGACTCAGCTGTCGTGCCGCTGCCCTGGGGTCCCTCCAGGGTCCTAGACTTAGGTCCAGACTCTGAGCACAGGCTGCCCACAGCAGGGTCCAGTATTGGCTCCACAGGGCTCCAGCCCCTTCAAGCCCCAGTCCACTGCTGGCTGAACCCGCCACGCCCCCCATCAGGCCCAGGAGCCCTGGCAGCAGCTCTCGCTCCTCATGGCACCGGCTTTGAAGCTGGTCCCGCAAGCCCGATCCCCTGAGCGCCTCGTGCAGCTGACCTGCTACCAGGCAACCCCGCTCCTCCGTCAGGAGGCGGAGCACACGGGCCGTGGGGAAAGGGCGCGCTGCCCCTGGGAAGTAGCTCACGGCTTTTCCCTGTAGCTGGTGGTAGGCGGGAAGCGCCAGCAGCAGGTCGGCGAGTTGGGACGACAGGCCCGGGCTGGCGGGCGCCCGGCCCAGAGCGCGAAGCTCCATCTCGATGGCAGCATCTAGGCGTTGGGCAGCTAATCCGACCAGGCGCGCCAGCAGTAGCTGCTCGGGAGTCTCCCGAAGGCCGGTTCGCAGGTTGGCCCCTCTGGAAGGGTGCGGCAGCAGGTCGCGGCACAGCTGAGGCAAGGGGCCGGGGCCGGGGGATGGCGCGCCGGGACTCAGGATCCTCAGGAGGCGCACGGCGGCCTGGAGGTGGCGGGCGCAGTCCCGGGCCTGGAGGAGCTGCTCCCGCTCGCGGTGCAGCCGCAGCAACACGGCCCAGAGGCGCTGCAGTGCAGGAGGAATCCGGCAGCCCGCTACCGGCTCCCGCCGCCAGTCCGCGGCGCCAACCTCATGGTGCTCTCCCGCGTCCGCCTGCGCCGCCCACCACGGCTGGCCCCCCGGAGCTCCGCCGGGCCGCGGGGCCAGGTAGGGGATGCTCCCGGCAACCGGCAACTCCGGGTAGCCCCGAACGTCCCCGCCGAGAGCGCCTGTCCGCCTTCTCTCCCACTGCTCCTCCCCAGCGACCTCGGGGTGCGCCCACAACGGCGGCACGGTAGCAAGCGGAGGCAGAAGGCCACCAGAGCGAGACGCCCGGGCCATGGGCTGCGTGTCCCGAACGAACCTAACGATTCCCACTTCCCCGCACCGCCCAACGCCCGCGGTAGCCGGGACTCCGCCCCATCCCTAGAGCCATCGTCTCTTGCCCGGGAGCCGCCAGGACCGTCATGAACTCTCTCGCGCTCCGTCGTCCGAGGCTTCTGCCCCTAACAAAGATGGCTGCCTACTCCGCCCTACCCCGCCCTTCGGCAGGTGTCAAATACGAGACTCTTTCACTTTCGAGTCACTGTTGACGGGAGATGGCGCCGATTCCGAAGACTGTGGGGCGGATCAAGCTAGGTGAGCTGGTGTGACAAGACAAGAGGGCTTCAGGAGACCAGGGCCAGCCCCACTTGGGTCTGTCTGTCTTCAGTAGGATTTTGTGCTTCACGGGGTGGGCGGAGGGATCCGGTCCATCGACCCTCATTCCGCCTTACGCGCCCCCGCCTTCCTTTCCTGTAGATTGCCCTCTGCTGTCTGGCTGCCCGCTGGGGGTCGCTGCTGTCCCCAAACTCTGCAAGGAATTCGGTCCTGAGGACTACGGCAAAGAGGTAAAGCAACCTCTAGCTCCCCCTCTACGTGTTTATCTCGGTCTTGCCTCTTTTCAGCCAGCTGTGCTGAGTCCCTCCACGGTCGGGCGGGCGCCGCGCTGGGCTCCAGGGGTTCTGGAGAGGCGTAGCGCACGGCGAGTGGAGTGGAACGGATGCTGGGGGCCGGGACGACGCTGCCCTGATAAGTGCTTGAAGTGGGCAGGGTTGGGTGGACGAGGGTCTCTGAGTTGAGCACTGGGGAGTGGGTAGGAGTTCCGTGGGGAAAGATATTATGAACAGAGGGAACAGTGTGAGCAAAGACACTAACGCAAGGAAAAGTTAAGAGAACTTCACTGAAATGAGACCTGAGTGGAGGGTTTGTTGAAACCTTAAGAGATGAGGCAGGAAAGAAGGCAGCAAGTGGCTTGAAAGGCCTTGTCTAGCACACGGGTTTGGATGTCCTCAAGTAGGTGATAGGGTTGTTGAGGCAGGGACAGAACCAGATTTGGGAGCTGAAAAGCTACACGTCCAGTTGCTTCCTGGTTATCTTTAAAACCTCAAACTCAAGTCCAGAAGTTCATTCATCTTTGCAAATTGGTTGCTTTTCCTCTAATCTTAGTTTTGGTTAATAACACAAACTTCCATCCAGTTGTTTAATCCAGAAATCTGAGAATCATTCTATATAATCCTCCCCTGTCCTTTACCTCTTTAGGCAGTTACTAAAAGCTGCTTCTGAATTGTCTCTTGAATCAAACCCATCATTTCCCTTCCTGCTCCCGCTGCCACTGCCTTAGTTCAAGAACTCGTTCTCTGCCCTGAACAGTTGTAATAGCCTTCTAACTAAACATTCCACCCTGAGACTCATCTCCTTGCCCAGTACTTCATTTGAGCATCACTCCCCAGATCAGGTCCACTCCCATCACTGACAGAACAAGGTCCAAACTCACTGAGTCACATAGGATTCTTCAGATACAGCTCCTGGCTGCATCTCTATTAGCTTCCTCACCAATCTCTCTGCCTTTACTCATTCAGCACACACTCATTGAGCGCCAACTATGTACTAGGCACTGTTTTAGGCATGGGGAAGATAGTAAACCAAACACACAAAAATCTGTGTAGTCAATGAATTAGAAGTATCTAGTGGGGACAGGCAATCAATAAACAAACAATATAGTCTGTCAAATATGAGAAGTGCAAAGAAAAATAAAGCAAAGAAGAAGGATAGGGAGTGCTGAGTGGAGTTGAGAGGTTTCTTGTTTTAAAAGCAGTGATCAGAGAAGGCCTCCCTGAGAAGGTTTAAGCAGAGATCTGAAGGGGACAAAGGCATGAGCCATTCACTGGGCAAAGAGCATTCCAGGCAAAGGAAATAAGACATAAAACAGCCCTTAGATGGAAGCAAACTTCAAAGCAGAGCACTGTAGCTGGAGGAGGGTGAAAAGAGGGTAGGAGATGATTTATGAAGGTTTTGGGGGGCCAGATCATGCATGGCCACATAGTGCATTAAGAGAATAGCATAGACTGTGTTTGGAGAGGAGGAGGGTCAAGGAAGTCCTTTATTTTTTATGATGGCCAGAGTGGGCTGAGGAGGAAGAGAACAGTGGAAGATATAGGAAAGACATTATATATTTGAGTGGCACATCCCAGGGAGGCTGCCGAAAATGGGCCCAGAGCATGTGTTATCTATGCATAAGTTCCAGTAAAGAGGTTGAAATAAACCCACTAGGAAATTGAATTTGAGAAAAGGGCTGGTTGACAGTGCCCAGCAGTGTAAATGAAAATTCCGTTGCATCAGGACTATCTCCTGAGGGGAGCCCTGGATCTAGAATTGTTTAGAAAGTTGATTATCCTTCAGTGATCTGAAGTCCTACCTATGCATTATAGTCGAGCTCAGGAGTTTCATGTGGCTTCTAAGTTTCTCAGTCAGTGAGCCACCACCTAGTCAGGGGCTGGCTCTGATTAGGCCACATAGGGACATGATGATTCCTGTCCTCTGAAGCTTACACTAACTGAGGAAACGATTCTCATCAGAACCAAGAACGCACAGGCCCAGCCTTGAAGAGTCTTGCCTCATTTTGTGAATGAGGAAGCTGAGGTACAGAGAGGTTAAATGATTTGTCCAAAATCAAACGGCCAGGTAGTGGCAGAGCCAGAACTAAGATGCAAGCAGCTTCACTCCAGCACAGTGTGCTCTCCAGTTCCATGAGGCCTCGCCAGTTAAGAGAGCAATAAAAAGCAATGAATAATAATGTTCTAAATTGTATAACACAGACTATGTGAATGCAGCTTGGTTGAGTGAGGGCAGAGACAACTGGAGATGAAAGGGTCTGAGTGGAAGGCTTTGATTGGAGATGGTATTTGAACTGAACCTTGAAGAAGAGACAAGATGTGGTGAAAAAGAAGCTCAAAGCCAGGAGGGATTTGGGGACAGCTGGGGAAAGACCCCAAGGCTAGAAGGAGCCTGGTGGCAGAAGGGAGATGGCAGCTAAGTGGGGGAGAATTTCAAGGGAGGATGGGCAAGGTCAGTTTTTTGGAAGGCTCCAAATCTCAGGCTGAGGAGCTAGTTTCAATCCTACCTGTGGCCCTGGCAGTGGAGGATTACTGGAAGTTTTTGAGGAGGGGAGTGATTGCTGAGAGCTTGGTTTTGGGGAGAAACAGACGAAGAGTAGAGGAGAGGCCAGCCAGGACCTGATGCACTCACTTAAGTGTGAGGTAACTCCAGGGTGGGTTATATGGGGCTGTTCACATTCAAGGATGTGACAGGGGGATTAGCTCGAAGAGCAGGTAAGAGGGCTGCATTTCAGGGCCTCAGTGTGGCTGACCTCGTGGCAGGCCAAGGGGAGGAGATCCTGGATGGTGGAGAAAGCTGGGCTGAGCATCACACTCAACCCTTGGGAAGGCAGGAAAGTAGTGAAGAGAGGTCATGCGCCATGAAAGCCGGAACAGCGTGCTTTGAGGTGCTGAGCAGGGAGAGGTTGGCCAGTTAAGGTTCTCCGGGCTGGGTGGCTGGTTTGTGGTTGCCAAGGTGGAGGGGTCAATCCAGCCAAACCTCTTGCTCTCTCCCAAAGCTCCCCACAACACCAGCCTCCCCTCCCCTCCCCCTCCCAGGACATAGAGGATTTTCTTCGACGGCTTGTGGAGAGTGACCCCCAGGGCCTGCACCGGATCCATGTGGATGGGAGCAGCGGGCGGCTGCAGCTGTGGCACCATGGTGGGGAGTGCAGGGCCGGGCCCAGGGATCGAGGCTGGTACCCTGGGGAGGGCTGGCCCTCAGATTCTCCTGTCTCTCATGTTCTTCTTTCTTTCCCTTCTCTTTCTCCTTCCTGACAGATTACCTCCTGAACCATTTCTGTGATGAGGGGGAAACGACTGGACAGAGTGACAGGGGCAAGGGGGCTGAGGGAGTGGGCACCTACTGTGGTCTCCAAAAGTCCTTCCTGTACCCTTCCCAAGGGTCTAAGACCCGCCCTCAAAGCCCCTCTGCCTCGGCATCCTTCGCCAGTGGCTCAGACAGCCTACTCCAGGTGGCCATGCCCCAGAAGCTCCTGGTGACTGAAGAGGTGAGACTGTCAGAAGCGGCTTCACCTTCGCCCAGGGTTCTTTCAATCCCATGTGCCCATTATCTCTGTTCTCCCCGATTCGGACCTTTCAAGATCCTTCCATACTACTTGTCTCCCTTTTGCTTTCTCTCTCATTCCCTCTCTCTGTTCCTGTTACCTGCCCTTCGTCCTCCAGGAAGCCAACCGCCTGGCTGAGGAGCTGGTGGCTGAGGAGGAGCGCATGAAACAGAAAGCAGAGAAGAAACGACTCAAGAAGAAGGTAGCTGGAGGGCGAAAGAGTGGGAGCCCAGACGGATTTGGGGGAGGGAAAGAGAGAAGTTTTGCAAGAACAGGAGAGAACTCAAGGGGGCCTGCAGTGGATCCTTTTGCCGGCAGGGCCCAGGGGGCTCAGGGCCTGGAGGGTCACCCAGAGGCCTTATGGTGCAGTAGTTCTGGAGTCACTTTATACTGCCTGGGTTGGAATCTGCCTCCTTCTTACTGTGAGATCTCTGCCTGGTGACTCTCTTGTCTGCTTTTTCACCTGTAAAATGAGGATGATAACAAAACCTACCTCACAGAGTTGCAAGAATAAAGTCAGTGTATGTAAAATTCTTAGCCCAGTACATGACATATAGTATGTATTGTACACATGAAGAATTAGTTTCAAGATACAAATTGTGTGTGTGTGTGTGTGTGTACTGAAGTACAGTGCTCAAAATACCTCCTCCTTATTATTATTGCAGCGTCAAAAGGATCGAAAGCGACAGGAGCGCTTGGAGCAGGACGGTGTGGAGCCCAAGGTGAGTGTCTACAGGCAGGTACTAAGAGCACCAAGTGCCAGGAAGGTGGGGCTCAGAAGGCTCAAGATGATCCCAATTCTGTACCTGTCCACCTTCCCTCCAGGCCAAGGGTACCGCAGATGGGGATGGGAGCCCCCCATCCAGCCCTGGGAACCCAGCTCCGGGACAGTGTGGTGAGGAAGAGGTGAGAGCCCCCTTCCTTCCCTTCTTGGTCTCTGCCCACACCCCACTTCCCTCCCCCTCTCCAGGACATACTTCATCCCCACCCCCTCCCTAACTGTCCTTTCTGCTCACAGGACTCACTGGATCTATCTAGCACTTTTGTGTCTCTGGCTTTGCGCAAAGTTGGGGATTGGCCCCCCAGTGCCCACAGAGAGAAGGGACTGAGCCAGGAGCCCCAAGGCAAGAGCCTGGGCCCCCAGGAGAAGATGGGCCAGGAGGAAGGGAGCTCTCCAAGAGAAGACAGCCCCAGGCAGAGTCCTAAGGCAGAGGTGAGATGGGCAGAAGAACCTCAAGTGGAACCAGTGGAAGGGGTGCCAGAGGGATCTGGGAAGTCACATGTTCTAAGGCATGAGGGCAGTGACCAGTAGAAAGAGTTCTCTGGCCCTAGGATTAAGAGACCTGGAGTCAAGCTCCATCACTGTCACCCTGACCCTAAGTAGTTTCCTCTGCAGGAAGGTAGAGCTGACACCTCTTGCAAAGCTGTCATGAGAATTACATGACTTGGGTGATGCTAACTGCAATCTTAACTGTTCAAACAAAGGAGGATTTGGGGAGGCTGAGGCCTCAAGTCCTGCCTCTCTTTGCTCCCTATCCCCAGGCATCTCCAGGACTGCTGGCAGCTGCCTTACAACAGAGCCAGAAGCTGGCAGGTGAGAGTCTTTCTCTCTCCCTCCTCACCCCACCCCCTGTGGGGTAGCCCCGTCTGACCCTTCCCACCCTCTCTCCTCCCCAGAGTTGGGTACCAGCTTTGCCCAGAATGGTTTCTACCAGAGGGCTGTGGTCCTCTTCACCCAGGCCCTGAAGCTCAACCCCCGGGACCACCGGTAGGTAGGGGCTTGGTCACTGTGCTGGGAGGTCAGGGCAAGGCAGGGTGCTGAGGACCCAGACTTTTGGTCACCTTATCTTTATCAGGTTATTTGGAAATCGCTCTTTCTGCCATGAGCGGCTGGGTCAGCCAGCGAGGGCCCTGGCCGATGCTCAGGTGGCCCTTACCCTGCGGCCCGGCTGGCCCCGGGGCCTCTTCCGCCTAGGCAAGGCCTTAATGGGACTGCAGGTAATGGTGTGAGGTTGGAGGCTGAAGAGGACTTTGGGTGGGATAGAGTGTGGATCGGGTCTACATTCAAGTCTTCTAGTATGTTAAGCTCCTAGTACCACAATGTCACCATGTTAGTGGTACTAGAAGCTGGAGCCAGTTTGGGAAAGGGGCTAGTTTTAAGTTCCTTGACCCTGTTGACACCTAAACTTTCCTCTTTCTAATCCCTCTGGGACCAAAGCGTTTTGAGGAGGCGGCTGCTGTGTTCCAGGAGACTCTGAGAGGCGGATCCCAGCCTGACGCAGCCCGAGAGCTCCACTCTTGCCTTCTGCAACTCTCTCTGGTAAGGGAGCCAGGCCCACTCTCATGCTGGGAGGGCAGCAGGGAGAACTGGCTAGGATGGCAAGACCAAGCACCGCCAGGAGTGGGTGGAATGAGGGGCATTGCTGGGCTCCCGGGAAAGAGTATCAGGTGCTCCCCCACCCCCATTCTCAGCAGGATCAGCGAAGAGGAATCCCTGCGCCACCTCTGTCTACTGGGTTCCCCCAGCCATTTCTCCATGCTGAGCTGGGGGCTTCAGGCCTCCTCTCCCTCAGTCGCCCTCGAAGCACTGCTCCAAGGCCCCCTGGGCTTTTGTCTCCACCATCGCATTATCCCCCATGGCACCCGAGCCACTCCAACTGGCCCCTTCCCCAGACTCAGAGTGGAAGACCCCATCCTCTCCAGCTCCAGGACCCCTCAAAGGACTCGGGCATCCTGGGACTTGGACCTCAGCATCTACCTCAGGCCAGATGAAGAAGGACCTGTGCCTCCTAGGACAAGGCCTTGTGTGCACGGGGATGAGAGACACTGTGAGCCAGCAGTTCGCAGCATATTTTGAGACCTTATACTCTCATACCAGAGTTAAAGACACCCCTGGCAGTCATTCCTCTTGCCACAGAGACTTTCTGATGAGCGAAAGGAGCCTTGCGTTCACTGAAACAGCCTTTCTCTGCTTCTCAAGCAGATGGCTTCTTTTGGGGACGGTAAGGAAATATTTTAAAAAGCCTCAAGAAAGGATCTGTACAAAAGTTCAGGTTTTCAGACTACGACAGACCCAGCAGAGGGGGCATGTGGGGCTCGTTCTGCTTCTTGACCCTGGGGAGTCACTGGCCAGCCAGAGCTCTGTGCTCAGGAATGGGGTCACAGTGATGAGGAAGGCCTGAGTCCCACCCTTCAGCTGGGTGGATGTTCACCTCTTCCTAATCCCAGTTCTGGCCCTGTTTTCTCTAGCCCCAGCTCCACACGCGCTGTTTCCTATCCACATGTCTATACACGTTCTGACCTCTCCTCTGCCCAGTGGACTGGTGCTCACCTCCTCCCACTGCTAGAAGATTCACCAAAGGTTTTGCATTTGAGAAGTCCCTTACCACCTCCTGCAGGGAGCTAGCAGAGCCCAAACATCTCCACACTCCCTCACTGCTGGTCTCCCACCAGTGGGGCCCCAGCAGGTGCCCAGGCTGCTGCCACCTTGGCCATGCTTTCTTCCCTCCAGCACTGAGCATTGTAACTAGCTTTCCCTGTGTGAATGTACTGAGTTCTTCCACCAAGGGTCCCTGCCCCCAAAGAAGGCTATAATTACTTCCTGTGTAAGAATCATCTCCTTTGGTTTCTCCTGTAAGATCCTGGCAACTGCCCCTGGCTGGTTCCTCCCTAGCCCACCTGGGACTCTCAATTTATTTAAATGTGGATCTGCAGGGGACTTTTAGGCCTCCCAGAATGCCTTTCCCAGAGGAACCATTCATCAGGATGAATGATTCTTGTTGCCCTTTGGGTCTTGCTCAACTCCATTCGCACCCAGAGATAGGAGGTGTTGGAACACCTGCTTTTCTATAGGGGTTTCCCAACTTCTTTTTATTGTTTATGGTTGCAGGCCCCTTAAATACTCTATCACAGGATGAAGTGTGCCATTACTAGTTGGGCCACCTTGAGCAGGTCTCTCAACATCTGTGCCTCAGGTCCCTCATCCATAAAATGGGCGCAATCCCTACCTTACAGGGCTGTTGTGAGGACTAAAAGAGAAAGTGTGAGAAAATACCTACCAAGTGCCTGGGACATAGTGGGTGTTAAATAAACTGATTTTTATCTGCAACTGTCCTACATATTCATGAACCCCACAGTGGGAAGAGAGGAGTATGAGTGAATTGTTGCTTATTTCACAAAATAAAGAGTTCCTGGGACTGTGGTTCTCAAAGTGTGGTCCGTGGACCAGCAGCATTGGCCTCACCTGGGAACTTGTTGCAAATGCAGATTCCCAGGCCCCCACCCTAGACCTTCTAAGTCAGAAACTGCAGGGGTGAGGCGCAGCCATTTGTGTTTCAGTAAGCCCTCCAGGTGATCCTGAGTGCCCTAACAGTGAGAAGCGGCGCTCTAGGACCTAGAGGAGGAGACACCCATCCAGAGGCCATTTTGGTGATACCGATTTGAGTTTTGTTTATCTGGGGCTTGATTACAAGAGGCGGCAGCACTGGGCTAGAATTTAGGAAGCCTCAAGTGGAAGAGGGTTATGGCTCAGAGTCAGTTAACTCCCCCGGACCCTACCTTCCTAACTAGAATTATTGGCCCCAGGAGTTCTTTGCTTCTGCCTGGTTGGGGAGTGGGGTTGAGGAGAGGTGGTTGTGTTTGTTTAGGGGATGATTACATCAGTGACTCCATAAGAGGCCAGTGCATCTGGCCTTCTTGTTCTGGGCTAGGGGATTACTTCTCTGCTTTGGGGATTCCACTAGGGCTCCTGGCTACCCACCACTATTGTGTGGTGTCTCTGCTTTCAGGCTGAGCTGGCTCCTTGCCCTTCCAGCCTCTCAAAGAAATGTCCCTTCCTCAGTACCTCTTAGCCTATGCTGGACTTGAATTTTCTCCAACAGCCAAAGGACTCCTGACACCTTGCTCCCATTTTGCCCCACGTTCACACTGCTAACTGGTAGGGTTCTGACGCAGCAGCCTGAGTTCTGAGTCCCCAGAGCTGGAAGCATCTTGGTTTTTCCTGGGACTGAGGGATTTCCTGGGGTGTGGGACTTTCAGTGCAAAAATTGGGAAGGTCCTAGGCAAACAGGAATGAGTTGCTCACCCTAATCTAAAGGTTCCAGAGAGGCAGGCTTTACAGAGGGATCAAGGGAACAGGGAAAGGACCTTGAACAGGCACCAGGGGAGATATGTGTGCCGAAGAGGCAACACAGGTGCAAGGAATACTTTTTGTACATAATGGCTGACAGATTCTTAGCTCTACACTAATAGACATTGTGTGTTTCTATGCAAGATGCCACTTGTATTCCAGTTGCCTAGGTTTGTGAGGTCATCATTGACTCATGCAATCTTCGGTCACTGGGGGAATATTCCTCTGTTGGAACAACCTCCCTCCTCCTCCACATCTGGCCCTTAATTCTCTCAGCTCTTACCTTCTGCAGTAGCCAGAGATACACCTTCCTAAGGTCCCTGCCAGTCTCTGGTCCACCCTGCACATGCAGCCAGATTAGCCTGCCCTAAACATTGCTCTCATGCCTCTCCTCAAAATCCTCCAAGGACCAGGCTCTGTCTACAGTACAATGCCTAAATTCCTACCTTTGGTCCCGTGTCCTCTCTTCTCTCTGTAAACCCTTTTCTTCTTTCAATTAGGCCCAGTCACAGTTACAGGGACAGAACCTGTAATGGCCAGAAGCATGAGCTCCTGAGTCTGACAAGCAAGCAGGTTACTCCCAGCCCCACCACTTACAAGCTTCATGACTTGACCAAGTTTCCTTGGGCTTCTGTGATTCAGTCTCCTTATCCTTAAAGTTAAACTCTCTTATCTCATGGGGTTATTGTGAAGATTAATCCATGCAAAGCACTTAGAACTGTGTTCAGTAAGTGGTAGCTGCTGTCTGAAAATGCCAGGTTCCCTTCTGCCTTCCAGCCTTGTTCACCCTCCCTGAAATATCCTCTCCTGGGACTTCCACCTGCATCTGAGGTCCCAGCTGACCCTCCTTGAACCCTGGATGGATTATTCCCAGATCATCGTTGTGGCTTCTGGGCAGAAGCATGGGAAGATCTGAGGAGGGAGGAAGGACTGAGAGAGCGCGAGGGGAAGCAGGAAAGGCGCCTAAGCCTGGTCTCCCGAAGATGGGTGGGGTGGCTGGGCTTGGGGACAGCCTGTAGCTACTGAGTGCTCCCCTTCCCTCCCCACCACACTGCAGGAGGGTGATTAATCACCAGCGTAATAAATTAATCTCAGAAATGTCCACGGGGTTGGGGGAGGAGGGGTGGACTGGGGTCTCCACCCCGCGGCCTCTCCTCCAAGCTCTGCCTCAGCAGGCCCGCCAGCCTCCCCAACTGTCCCGCCACCGCTACCATCCTGGTGGGAACTTTCCTCGCCCAAGTGCAGGGCGGAGGTCCCAGAAGTAGAGGTTTGTCCCTCTCCCTGCGCGCCTGTCTCAGCGTAGGGTTCTTTCGGCGGAAGTGGGGAGAAGGGTCAGGACCCCATTAACAAATGACCTCAGGGTGGGGAAAGAAGAAAGAGACGGGCACGACGTGGTCCCTCTGGAGCCGGCCTAGAGGTTAGAAGCAATGTCTCCCAGGCAGCGGCGGATCAAAGGCCCGGTACAGTCCTGCGACCAAAGGCAGCCAGTAGCGGAGGGGTGGCCGCAGCTAGAGTCCCATCCGCTTCCCCTCAGCCGGGAGTCTCCAGAGCAGGGGGCTGACAAGCACCGGTTCTGAAGCCTAGCTGGATGCCTAGGTCCAAATCCTGACCTAGGGGTTCTTCCTTTGTAAAACGGGCACAATTATATCACCTACCTGACGGAGTTGCTATGAGGGTTAAAGGACACATCGCGTTTAAAGGCTCGGCACAGCGCCGAGCGCGGAATCTGCGCAGTAATCAGATTTTGCTCCTGTTGCTCCGGGCGCCAGGACCGAGGCCTGGTGTGGCGGAGTCTCGACTCTATTCTCAACAATTGGGAAAGGCGGGCGTCTGGTCTGTGAGCCCAAGAGGCCCAGATCGACGCGCTCCCTCCACGGGGTAACCGGACAAGAGCGCCGAGGCGAGAAATCCACGGCCCGAGCCCTGGAAGCGGCTTTGCCTTCAATCGTCCACCTGTATCTCCTCGTCTGACAGGTGCGGCCCGGAATCCGGCCGGCCGAGGCCTGGGGCGCCGTGGGGTAGCGCGAGGCGGCACTGGATTTCGGGGGACAGCGCGTGCAGCGAGGCCACGTCGGCGCGCATCTCCTCCACGTCGCGCTTGAGCTTGGCGCGCCGGTTCTGGAACCACGTGACGACCTGCGCGTTGGCCAAGCCCAGCCTCGCTGCCAGCCCGTCGCGCTCCGACGGCGCCAGGTACTTCTGGAAGACGAAGCGCCGCTCCAGCTCCAGCACCTGCTGCGCCGTGAACGCCGTGCGTGACTTTCGCCTTCGGCGGCCGGCGGGGCCAAGGCTCAGAGCGCCCGGGGCGGCGCGGCCTGTGGGGATAGGCAAGGGTCAGCCTCCAGCCTGCGGGAATCAGGCTTGGCCCGGGAGGAAGAGCTGGGGGTGGGGTCAGGCCAGGGTTGGGGTGAGCGGAGCGAGAAGGCGGACGTCAGCCAGAACCACGGTCCCTTACTGAACTGCGCGGGGGGGTCAAGCCGAGGTGCGGGGCGGGGGGCGGTGGGGGAGGCGAGGCGGGGCACAAAGTGGAACTGGCTACTGGAGTACGGGAGGCAGCAGGCTGAGCGCATCCTGGGGAGACGGAGGCCTGGGAGAAGGGTGGGACAGGCCAGAGGAGACCTGGTGCAGAGACAGGCCGTCTGGTGCGGGGCCTTTGAGGCCTTCCGGAGCCCCTGGTAGAGGGGGCTTGCCGGTTGGGGCCGGCACCAGAGGCGGGGGCCAGCCCTGGTCAGAGTAGAGGCAGCCAAGCTGGCATGGTGAGTGTAACAGAACCCAGATCGTGTCCTTCTTTAGACTCGTGGGTCCTGTAGGGCACTCTCGACTTACCCTTTTTAAGTGACACGGGCGCCCCCTCCTCCAGCCCAAAAGGGAGATAGGGGGCTTACAAAGGGCAAGGAAAGGTGGAGTGTGGAGTCCCGGGCCCCTTGCCACTCCAAGGACCTTCTGCTCCTTGCGCCCTCTAGAGAAGAGAGTGGGTAGGAGAGGAGCTTGGTCACCCGGAGGGGCCAGAGCCTCGCCTCCCAGCACTTTCTCCGCCGCCCTTGCCCTAGTTCACACGTTTACAGCCTCCGGCTCAGGCCTTTTGTCTCCATCTCTGGCCTTTTTCTGTCGCGATTGCCCCGCCTACCGCGAACGTACCGAGGGGTCGCTCAGTTCTCGACAGACTGGCCCTTCCCCCCGCCGCTGGTGGCCTCCAGGAGCGGCTGCGGAGCCTGGGAACTAACGGAAAAGTGGGGAGGCGAGGGAGATGCAAGTCCCGGCACGTGGGCTGAGGGCATGGGGCAGATTAGGGTGGCGGCCAGGGTGAACGAAGGTTTGAGACCGAGAACCTGGAGGAGAGAGATGAGGAGAAGGCCAATTCACAGTGCGCGACCTGGCCAGCGCTATACCTGCAGAGGGCTGCGGAGCGTGTCCGTCAAGTCCGCGGAAAGTTTTACTAGTCAGCTCCTCCAGCGCGCACAGCGGCGACGTGGGACCCGGGCTCGACTCTGAAAGCTGTGACGCAGAGGGTCCTCGGGGAACCACGCGCGGGCCTAGGATGTCTGCGATGCTGAAGGGTGTCGGGGGTGTCCGGGGCTCGGATCCCGAGCTCATGGCCAGCAGGGCTGTGGTAGTCCCGTCGCCCGCTGCGCTCCGCTCCGCAGCCGCCTGGGCCCCAGTGTGCGGCTCCTGTTCTGGGCCCCCCGCCTCGGACCCGCCCCCACGCTGGGCCCGAGCCCCGTGTGCCCCTCCTTCTGAACCCCCACCCCCCCACCTCGGGGCCTCGGTGTTTCTGGAGCTGGTAGATGTCTCGGGAGCGGTATTTCCATAGGATGAGGAGGCGCGGAGAGAAGTCTGCGGAACAACTCACCAGACCCAGCCTCGGTGCTGCTCCGCGCTGCCAGGCGCGGCCTCGTACACACTCGGGCTGGACCCTTCGTGGGCGGCCCCCAGGTTCTGTGTGCCATGGACGCCCCGCCTAACCGCCGCTCCGGCTCATAAATTCATCGGCAATAAAATTGCTTTCCCTGGCCCCAACGGCTGGGGATTTGCAAAATTCCGAGGAGGGAGATCAGAGCAGACTGTGCTAGTATCCCGATCCCACCTAGGAAGGACCTCAGTCTCTTGACCTGACTCTGTCGTCCCGGCCCCACTCCTGCAGAATGCTATTAAAGAGGTCCTGCCGGCTGGAAGTTATTAGTGCGGCGCGGGGGGCTGGGGGGACTTGAGGCATGGAAGGACCTGGCCGGGCAGAGAGACTGCAATTGGGAATAGTGGGGATGCGATGGGGAGGCAGGCGCAGGTGAGTAGACTCCAGCCGGCTCTCTGGCTGGACCCAAGGCTGTCCCACCAAGCTCAGAGGCCCTGAGGAAGTCAAAACACATGGAGAAGCGTCCGGAGACCTGGGCCTCAGGAGAGAGGACACAGCAAACCCGGAGCTGGTGCGACTGCCCAGAAGGAGTCTTTGCCAGTGAAGACTGGCCTCCATTGAAGGCCTTCTGGTTACTCCATCGGACTGTCAATCAATGGATCTGTCTCTGCCTCCTTATTAAGCTCCTGTAGTTCCAGTAGGAGTTCCCCAGCCTAGGGAGGCAGAGAAACCACCACAGGAGCAGTGGCGGGAGGGGCCACTGGTCACTGCCCAGGAACATCAGGGTCATTCCCTATAGAAGAGTGACTTGAAAGGCAGGCTTCATGGACCCAATCAGATCCTGAGACACAAACCTCTGTCAACCCAGGGACAAACTCTAAAGCCTGGGATATTCATTCCTATGTCATCTGTGTCCTGTCTTTCTCTCTTCTCTCCTACACCTATTCCAGTCCTGGGCTCACACCCAGGTGAACACCCGAAACCTTCCTTTGTAGGAAAAAGGCAGTTCTGGGACAGTGCTGCTCTGCCAGTGGAAGCCCAACAGGGTTTTGGTGGCATATCACACCCCAAATAGGTGGGATTCACAGCCCAGAGGCAGAGGAGCCCCACCACTCCTGAGGAACTCCCCACTCCTGAGGAACTCACTGCTGTGGGTTTCTTCTAGTTGTTTCAAACAGTGCTATGAAGAATCGGGTTGGTCCCTCCTAGAGTCTCCATTATGTCACCTTCTCTGTAGACCTCTGCACCTCCCACCATTTGTGCAGTGATCCTCTGTCCATCTGTCTATTCCCTGGTGCATGGGGAGCCTGCAGCTGTGGTGCCCCAGAGCTTAGGAGATCAGAAGCACCTGCGCCAAAGACTTCTTCGATAACGAGGGTCAGGGAACCTCACATGGCCTGAGGCAGTGACCTTGCCCACCCCAAGAAGATGGAGAAACACAGGGTCTTCTTGATAAAGGGCTCCCCTCACTGACAACCCCCCATCCACCAGACGCACCCAGACACTCACATGGTGTCCTAATGGCAGCCTGAGCAACACACTCAGCTGAATGGGCCACTGCTGGCTCAGAGCCACAGAAGAAAGTTGAGATGCCTCAGGACCTTGTTAATTGGTTATTAATGGTGGGGGGCAGGGGAGGGCCAGGAGAGATCCACTGAACCATCCTGATGGTTTCACTTAATCTGCAATTAAAAAGGGTCTCAGGAGGCTGCAGGAACTGCCCAGCTCATGTCCCAGGCCTGTCACCAAACAGACACTACAACCTTTACTCATGCATCCTCTATGTAGCTGTCATGCCATCTCTTCTCTGCTCTCAATTACTAGAGTATCTTGGGGAGTGTGGGGCTCTCCTGAAGGGCCTTTGCCTTCTTCCCCCTCATCTCTCTCACCTACCTCCTCCCCCCTGCAGCCCAGCTCAGATAATGGGGGTTGGACAATGGGGTTGAACGATCCCCAGATGTGAGTTTGGGGGAGGAGAGGGAAGGAGAGACTACGAAAGGGAGGAGGCTGCTGACAGCAGAGCCCGACAAGGGCATCCCAGTGGCCAGGGACTTGTCCAGACGATTGTGGGGCCACAGGAGGAGACTTTTCCCAGCGAAGCCTCTGGAACCTGAGCTGGGGAGAAACCGAATCCGCAGAGGCGGGTAGGAGGAGGGTGAGTGATTAATGAGGGAGATTAAGAGATTAAACCTGTGTTCTGGGCTTGGGGGGGGGGGTGGACGCTCCTCTGTCTCATATGCTTCCCCCCAGCTTGGGAGCGCCAAAGCTCTCCAGTGCCCGGTCATTGCTCATGTCTTGTGGCCATACCTCCCACCCCCACTGTCCAACCCTCCCTGCCCTAGATTGCTCTTCCCAGAGCAATCCACGGATGGATGGACCATGAACCTTCACCACCGTCCACCCCTCTCCCAGCATTATCAGGAAATCCCTCCCATCTCCCACCTCCTCTGATTACTCATTTTCCCTTCAGACATTTCGGGGTCCTCCGCTCCCTCCCCTTGTAGAGATCCTCACATTCCGACTCCCTGGGGAAGGCCCTCAGATTCCCACTTAAGGATGCTTTCTCACACATCCTCTCACCACCCCCTTTCCTCATCCCTCCACCTTCTCTCTCACCTTACTCCCTTTCTTCATCACTCCCACCTTATTTCTCATTCCCTGACACCGCATGTCTCATCTGCCTTGCCCACTCAGCCTCTCATCCGGAGGGTTCCTCTCCCAGGCCCGCCCCAGATCAACCCCCCTCTTCCTGCTCTGCTCAATAAATGACCTTTAGTCTCCGGATTTCCCGCCCTATGCATTCCTCTGAATTCTGTAAGTGTACTGGGGGTGGGATTGGGGGATTCTCAGAATAACCCCCTGTGGCTGTGGATGGCCTCTTCCCCCCACGCTCAGGGAAAATCCGTTCCTGGAGGGAGAGGGAAGTGGGGGTTTAGGGAGGAAACTAGGCAGAGGAGCATGGGGCAGGGCGTCCGTCCATCTCGCACATTTCTGGAATTTTCTCTTTTAGAAAACGTTAATGCAGAGTAAACCGATTCAGACACTTAAATTTTAGTTTCAATACTTCTAGGGCCTTGGGTCTGTGAATTCTTTCCGGCCCTTTACCTGGTTCACAAAGAACTCTGCGCAACCACCACGATCCCGGGGATGTGCGGGCTGGGATGGGGTAGCGACAGGATACTCAGACACCCCCCCACCCACCCCCACACACGCATACTCCCCGAGACTCACTGTTCCAAGGAAGTCCCTTTTCCCTCTCTCCTCCTCCCCGCCCCGCACAAGCTCTGGGAAAGACTGCCCAGGCTGAGCGGAACTGGTCCCCCTCTGTGCCAAAGATGGGAGCAAATCTTGGCGCCTCCTCCCCCAGCTGAGTGCGGACCTCGGAAACAGCTAGGTGAGAAAGGACGATAGGGGCAAGGGCGGGCTTGGCCCTGCAGGTGAGGATGACGCCTCCAGCCAGAGCTGCGACGTCAAGGGCGCCCCGGAGAGGGCCCGGAGAGGGCCGGCTGCGCGCCTGGATGACCCTTCACGACCCGTCTTTGAACGCGGCACGCGCGTTCTAGGCCTCGGAGCCCAAGAAAACCAAGGGCTTATTCACCCGCCCTGGCCCAGATGGAGACCGAGTGACCCCGGGGGACAGGGTCTGCGTGGGGCAGGTTAGGGCGCGGGGTAATGGACCCATAGATCGAGCGCGGAGCTCGCAGCTGGCCTCTGTCAGCCACCGCGGGAGCCGAGATGTACCGCAGCTGCCGCCACCACCGCCGCTGACAGACAAAAAGACTCCCCTGAGCTGGGGGCGAGGCGGGGCAGCCGCTCCCCGCCCAGATCCAGGCCTGCCCGCCTTCCCGCTGCTTCTTGGCCACAAGCCATGCGTCGTCAAAGGCCTCATCCTGAGGCTTGGTCCTCATGTCTCGGGGACCTCAGGCAGCCTTATCTTCTGACTGGGGCTTCTTGACGCCAAGCTGCTGCCAAGCCCCAACCAGACTACTACCCAACTCTTGCAGCTGCTTGGGCCCAAGTTCCCAGGGCGTTTCTACTCTCCTTCCCCCCAGCCCACACCTCTCCCAAGGAGTCACTCCTCCAAAACGCCCTTTGATGCCCAAACACCTTGAGAACAGCCTGAGTGTGGCGTGCTCCTGTCAGCTGCCAAGTCCCCAGAGCTTAAATTCAGGGAAAAGAGAGTGTGGAACCCCGGCACAGATATAATTAATCAAAACCCCCGAGTTATATGCTGGTGTAGAGACTGGCCCAAAAGCAATGGAAGAAGCCCGATTCTGGTGAGGGTTTCCTGGAGGAGGTGTCACTTAGGCTTTCACAGACAGCTGAGTATGGGGTGAGGGGGAGAGGCAGTCCAGGCCTGAGGCCCTAAACATGGGAAGCCTTAGGAATCTTGGAGATCATTTCAGGAAGGAATTGTGCCAGGCCAGCAGCTCTGCGGTGTCCCCACCCCATCCCTGTTGCCTGCCCAGCGCATCCCAGGGCTCTTCTTCACATGTGCCTTTCTCTTGGCCTAAAAGCTTCATCTGTTGGGGGAGAAGCCCAGGCAGACTGCACACCTGTCGCGAGCTTAGGTTTTTGTCCCTCAAGTCCCTGGCTCCTTCACTATACGCCCCCCTCCAAGTCCTCTGCCACCTGATCTCCAAGTGGAAGCTTGGTGCCTTCAGCCCTCACCAGCTATGCACAATGACCCCACTGAATTCGTGGAGTCAGACTTCAACCAGCAAGAGATTTAGGTTTTAAACTTAGGTTTTGGTGACATTTATGCTGCCTGCTCCATCCCGCTTGTCCGGATTCAGCAGCAGCCCATCACGTCCTTCACAAACTCCTTACTTTGGCCTCCAGTCTCCCTCTGTTACTGTCCCAGTTGGGCACGTTTCTGGCTACCCCACTGAGAGGTCTGTGGAGAGAGATACTGGCTGGGTTTATTTGCAGAGCCCAGTGCTCACGGCCGGGCTCATATAGACAAGGGATGTTTGCTGAATTAACCAACGGAGGTCTAGCCCTGCTGCTTCCTGCTGTTCCTTGAAGCTGCCTTTGCTCTCCCGGGCACCAGCTCCTCTCTTCCTCAACCTCCCTCTCCCCACTCTGACTTCACCTAGCCCAGGTACCTGAAGGCTTGCTGAACCTTGTCTGGACAGCCAGGTCTCCAACGCTGACTATCCCGCATGCTCCCCACGACACCCGCTCCCCCCTCCACCAATTTTAAGACTCCTCCCATAGTGTAATTGTTTAGATTGTTCTTTAACATATCACTGTTCTTCAGTCCTGCAGTGGCCACTGTCCAACCCTAGCCCTACTCTCGCCACTCCTGAATTACGACACCTTCACTCAGGACTGTGTCACATGCTGCAACACTCAAGGACCACGAGAGCTCCCCTCCAGAAAGCCTTCCCTTCACCAAAAAGAGCTGGTGCGGGTGGCCTGGTTTCACTTAGCTCACCTTCTGAGTCTTACATGTGTAGGGTCCTCTACCCCTCTCCTCTGGCAATTCGCTGGGGGCCACGGACATAGCAAGGCCCTCCTTCTTGATGAAACTCAGAGGATTTCTGAGGAAGCAGGACACAGGACAAAGCATGAGTGTGTGGTAGGACAAGAAGGAAGAAGAGAGATGCTTTTTTAAAGTTTTTATTTCAAAAAATAAAGCCGCAGTTAATTTCACATAAATATCTGAGGAAGGAAGGGGAGAGGGATGGGGTGGGGGCTTGGCCCCTACCTCCTCTTCTCTTTCACACTGTATTGTAAAAGCAAAGGGGATGGCTAAAGAGAGAACAGGGGAAGAAGTAGTCAGCGGGAGCATTCTTACCCAAAAGGCCCACAGCCCACCCCTGCCCTGAGGACTGCCTTAGCACTGGCTCACCTTGCCGAACCAGCGGGAGAGCCATAGCTGCTTCATGGTCATGTGATCAGGGAGCACTTCATTGTCAAAAAGGAGCTGCACCTGGGAGATGGGGCACAGTTTTTAGGAACTCTTCTCTTGTACATATCAAGAACTACCCTGGTCCACCCTAGACTCTGCCCCTCCCTTTGTAGCCTCTTCCCCCTCAAAGAAAACCTACTGTGGGAATACTCACATGCTGGGGATTTAGCATCAAGCGGTGACACAGGACCCTTCGGAGATGGCGAACCTCAGCTCTAACAGAACATCGGACATATTTGTTCTGGGGGTGAAGAGGGAAGAGAAGGTGTGTGAGGGAAGGGCCACAGAGAGGTGAGTCTCCTTAGAGAGGCGCTCCCCTCAGCCCCTCTCACCTGCAGGACGCTTTTATTCTTGTCTTTGCCAGAACTAGAGGGAAACAGACACAAGTTAGAGAGACTTATCCTTCCCCCTGTCCCCTGCCCAGAGCCATGATATACTCTCTTCAAGGGAACAGACACTCCATCACTTCTCCCCAGCTCTGGGTCATTGACACTGTCACTTCAGACAGCCTACGACCTGCCCCTCACCTCAGCCGCTCCAGACACAGGCTCAGCTGCTCATCATAGCGATAGTAGTGGGCTTTGGAGTGGTCAAAGCTGCTAAAGGGGAGGCCAAGGTTGCTCAGGGCTGGCTCTGAGAAAGACAGAGTAGTGAGAAGGGTGGAACAGGTTCCACACTCCTTTTTCCCCAGAGAGCAAAACTAGGCAGGAGGAATGTGCTAGGGGCTTTACTTTACCCTCTTGCTGCCAAGGGACATACCTTCCCCACTGGGCTGGGTGACACGGTCCAGTCCTCGGGACTGGTAGAATTCTCGAATTCGTTTCTCTTCACCTAGAAGGGAGTGGAGTATCAGAAGTAACGTATTAGCCCTCCTTCACTCTTTGTCCCTCTGGCTGTCAACCTCTTTACCTACATGATTCCCTCCAAAGCCCTTGTCACCTCCAGCTGCCTGCCACCCAGCATCACTCCTCTAGAGGCTCCTGAAAGTCAGGTTGGTCACTCACTGTCTTGCAAGCCAGGCACTAGCTTGTACACAATGTCCTGCATGACCCGGTCCAGTTTGAGGTTGAGCAGTGGCTGTGTCTCGTGGATCTTGATGTTGCACATGGGGCAGTACTTGCTGGTTTGGAGGTACTTCACAATACAACTCTTGCAGACTGCAGGAAGAGAAAAGCAGACTCTCAGCCCTCTGAGACTTGGGTTCAGGGGCTGGGCAGGATGCCAGGATGATTGGGGCAGGCAGCCCAGACGCTGGCAGCCAACTTGGTGGGGACTAGGGCCTGGAAGAACCACCCAGGGTCCAGGGCACTCACAAGTATGAAGACACTCTGTGATGGTGGTGGCATCCACGAAGTAGCCGGCACACAGACAGCAGACGATGTGCTCATTCAGGTCTTTGATCTTTACTCGTACCTCCTCCTTTAGACATACCCTCCGTCACCGATCACCCTTCTTTCCCCCACCAAGCCCAACCCGTGCGCCTTCCCAGCTTGGGAGTCGCCTCTTTGCTCAGATCCCAAGGCCAAGCCCCGCACCCTGCGCGGTCAGCGGAGTATTAACTCCCAGGGGCTGACACTCCTCCTCCGCCCAGCAGAGGGCTCCGCGCACAGCGGGGGATCCCTTCACATGGACTCGCTCGACCTTCCTTTCCCAGGGGAGACTACACGACGTGGGCGGCACAATGCGCAGGCGTCCTAGCCCAGAGTTTGGCAACCCGACCGCAATCGCGCAGGCGCACTGGGCACCCTGTCTCTGCGCAGGCGCACTGGGCGCCCGGCCAGCCACCGCCCGTCCTGTAGCCGGCCCCAGTTCGCACCGCCAGCCGACCACAGCAGTAACCCTGCCGCCTCTGCACCTCGTTCCGTAGCGGGTCCATCTTGTACACTGACTGGAGCTGGTTCCGAAGCCTCATCGCGATCGCAATCTGGCCCCCCTGAGGAGACGCCATCTTAAAGGCTGATCCCGGCCTGCCACTTCCGGTGCCGCCTGCGGGGCGGGACTTGTCGCCCAGCAACGAAGGCTTAGGTCTTTTCGGATTCGCTGGCCGTCTTTAAGGCCCCGCCCATGTCCCTTTCTCCCCGTGTGCTCACCTGAGCCCCACTGGCCCCTCCCCCTCCTCAATCCGTAATTAGGGAATGGGGGGGGCGTAGGGAGGGATCCTATCCCATTGACCTCCTGTAGTAACCGTCACAGTAGACCCTAGCCGACCCCAGGACTAACTTCTGGAGCCAGCGAAAGACTGCCCCCTTCTACCCCAAAAGGCCGGGGGATCTCCGCCCGCCACCGCTCAGGGTCGTCGATCTCCTGTGCCGACGACCCTACTAAAGAAGCCCCTCTGGGGCCTTCTCCTCCTAATGTCGCCCTGGTCGGCTGACGCATCTGCGTTACGGAGCTTCATCCCGATGGCGGGCCTTCTCCCGACTCCACAGCGGGAGTTTCTCAGGGCTTTGCGGAGTCTCGGAGAGGGTGGCGGGAAGGGAGGGACCCCCAGGGACTTGGTAGTGATCTTATCCCCCCCCCCATCCTCCCCCTGCCGCCGGGGATGGGGGGGCAGGCCCTGGTTAATGATGATGATTCAATCATCGGCGCCTGCGGAGGCCTGGGACAGACTAATGCAGAGCAGATGCCGAAGGAGGAGGGGAGGACGACTAGGACACTACCGCACACAGACACGCCGAGGAAGCGGGCGCCTGCGGTAGCATAGGCCCAGCCCCGAACGTGGAGCGAACGCAGGGGCCCAGAGCTAGTACACCGCCGTCCCTAGGTACTCAGAGTGGAACTGAAAAACAAAGATGAGTTTACTGTGAAGTATTAACATCAAGTGCAGTTGGAGACTCGAAAAGGGAGAGATCCCAATGGAGACCCTGAAAGGCTTTCCGGAGGAATTTGGGACTTTGGGCACAATTTAGGGATTGGGGTAGCAGGGGGCGGTGGGAGTAAGAAATGTGGTGGAAACAGAAAAGAAAGGCAGAAGAGTGGGGAATGACCGGGGAGGGACAGGAAGGAGGCCAAGGTGCCGATCTGAGAGTAGTGATAGAAGAAGCACGGCCTTACGGAGTTGGGACTTTAGCCTGAGGGCAATAGGGAGCTAGCAAACATTTTTGAAGAGAGGGAGTTACCGTATGAAAGAAACATTTTTGTTCATTTATCTTCAGAGTGAATTGGAGTCGATAAACAGTAAGAAGTTAGGAGATTAGTGAAATTTTTTTTTTTTTTAGGAAGATTAGCCCTCAAAAAATTGAGGTAAAATTGAGCAGCTAACTCGAGCTAACTGCTGCCAATCCTCCTCTTTTTGTTGAGGAAGACTGGCCCTGAGCTAATATCTGTACCCATCTTCCTCTACTTTGTACATGGGATGCCTAACACAGTATGGCTTGCCACATGGTGCCATGTCCACACCCAGGATCCAAACCAGCGAACCCCAGGCCACTGAAGCCCAACGTTGGAACTTAACTGCTGCGCCACTGGGCCAGCCGGAAATTAGTGAATTTTTGGTCAACTACTTTTTACTATAGCCACTGCTTTCCTCCCTGGCACAAAATACCATTATCTCTCCTATGGATGATTGCAGTGTCTTGCCTGCTTCCTCTGCTTCCACCTTTGTTCCTCTTTCTCCTATTCTCAACATAGCAGCTCAGAGTGGTTCTGGTAAAACAGGAATGAAAAAGGACACAACAAAAGTTTTTTGAGTTAATGGATAAGTTTATTATCTTGATTGTGGGGATGGTTTCATGTGTCTATACATATGTCGAAATTTATCAAATTGTACTTTAAATATGTGCAGTTTATTGTGTCAGTTTTACCTTAAGAAAAATGTTAAAAATAAAATTAAACGATCAAGTGTCTTACTTTTTTGTTTAAAACCTTCAAGTAACTTCCCTTTTCAATCAGAATAAAAGCTAAAGTCCTTACAATGATCTTCATGGCCTTGCATGGTCTCTCACAGTCACTCAGTCTTTCCAGTCACACACAGCCCCTCACTGTTTGGTCCACAGATACACCAGGATATATATACTCCCACTGTCACCAGCTTGAAATGCTCAGATATCCAAATGGATCCTTTCTTACTTCAGGTCTTTACTCAATGAGGCCTTCAGTGACCACTCTAGATAAATCACACCCCCCACCACCCTTTCACTTCTTCTCCCCCTTCCTTGCTTTATTTTTCTTCTTAGAATTTATTATTAATATATTTTTTTCTTGTTTTTCACCTGCCTCCTCCACTCGAACGTATGTTTCTCAGTGGGGATTTTTTTTTTTCTGTTGTGTCTACAACTATATCTCCAGGGCCACATGAATAGTAGGTGTTCAATCAAAATTTTCTGGATGAATGAATGAATGAATGTAGATAGTGGCGATGACAGCCTAGATTAAGGTTTTGTCAGTGGAAATGGAAAGGAAGGGCTGTATATGAAACACTTCAAAGGAAAGCATAATAGGAGGAAGTGAATGAGGAGCTTGGGGGCGGGGGGAGCATGTTCTCCAGCCTGTTGCTCTTAAGCTAGCTGCAGCAAAGGAGCCAGAAGGCTGGAGCTGGCCAGGAGGTTAGAACAGAGGAGCTGGAGCACAAGTGTCAGAAGTAGGGATGGAGGTCTCAGAGTTTTCTGGGTAGATGTTCTAGATGGGACTATTGGAGTGGATGAAACCTGAGCAGATGTAGGGAGAGATAAAGCCGAAGTCTGAGCTTGGAAGTATGCTCACTCTTCAGTGGCAGAAGCAAAGGCAATGGAGGGAAAACATAAGCAGTGACTAGGAAAGTCCAAAGATGTAGCATAAGACAATATTATAGAAACCGAAAGGGGCATTTTAAGAAATGGTTGGTCATCAACAAAGTAAAACATGTCATAGAAGTCCTGGATAATGGACACTGGAAGTCTCTGAGAAAGGGTCAGTGTGGTGTAGTGAAGCCAGATTGCCATAGGTTAAAGAATAAGTGGTGAGGAAATGGAGGCAGTGTGTGGGGGCAGTACAAAGGAAAAGAAAAACAATTTCTCTTGAGTCAGGCAAAGATTTTGTCCAGATAATAGAGGCCTAAGACAGTTGAGGGTAGGAAAGACTAAGTTGATGAGAGAAATGATGGTACAGGAGCGGGGACCATCTTGAGGAAAGGACACTGCACCAAAAGCAGGAAGGAAGGGAAGGTACAAGAGCACAGGCTGGGAACTTGACCTCTTCCTGTGAAGCTGCAGGCTTGGAGGCCTGAAAACTCGGAGAGTTTAGGGGCCACATGCATGCAGGATATGGTGAGACAGATCCAAAGCGGTGTGTGTGGGAGGCGGGGCGCCGACTCCAGGGCCTCCATCTTAGACATAAACTAGCAGGAATCACTCTTTTCTGGGAAATCAGGGGATCAGAGAGCCAGAGGCAAGCAGAGAAATTCCTAGGACTGCCGCTGACAAAAGTGCATACCCTTTTGTTCTTGAAGTGGGGCACTGAAAATTTTTTCTCTTTTAACTCCCCAAAAGATCTGTATGTACTTCCGGGGGCTTGTGAGCATTGTCCTCAAAGGATCAGTTGGTCAGTCTCTGCATGGCAGTGCCATCTGTGCTGACCTCAAAAGGCAGGATGTACAGTACACATAGAAGCACGTAGACAGGTCTGCATGCTGCTGCTTTTTTCTCCTTCGTTGATTCACTCATTAATTCATTCAAGAAGGACTTACTCAGCTTGGTTAGAAACACACCAGTGCCCACCCTCTCCTCAGAGGCCCGCCCCCTAGAGTGGGAAAAGGGACAGACAGACTTCTAACTTGCAGGCCAGTCCCCTTCAGAGGCCTTTTCTACTTTGCTGTCTCCCTAGGCTCTCTGTTTTCCTCCGGGGGCAGTGGCCCATACCCTCTCTGGAGGTTTTGCCTGAACAGCAGAGGTTTCATGCTCCCTAGTAGCCCCACCCCTCCACTGCTGAGATGCGTGCTCCGGCTTCTGTGAAGGGCTAGGGGAGGTGATAATGTCTGTCTTCTCCACCAAGACAAAAACACAGCTGCAAAATTGGCAGGAGCCCCCCCACACCCCTCTTTCAGAAGGGGCAGGATGGGGGAAGGGCTGGAGAAATTGGATGATGGAGGTGGACAGGTTGGGGGAGGATGTCACATGTTATTAATGCTCAGTGCCTCCCTCCCCCATGGCTCACCCCCTTCAGACTGAGGCTTCTGAGAACACTGAGGTGTTCTTTGAACACTGGTGGCTTTGGGTGGGGAGAAAGCCCACTCCGTTCTTTCTCTTCTTTCTCTTCCTTCCCAGATGCCCAAATATCATTCCTGGTTCCCTGGAGAGAAAAGACCTCTCACCCTGCCCCAGGCACCAGGCTGCCAGCCCATCTGCTGGGGAAAACAGAGGGGCAGAGTCTTTCCCAGGAGATCCTGGAAGATCCGTGCTCCCAGGGAGACCCATCTACTAGACTTAGAAGGCGTTTCGGTTCACACGGGTAACCGGCAGCCTGGAGCTGAGCACCGGTGTGGGCTAGGGTGAGGGGCTAGGTCTGGCACAGCGGGGCGGAGTCCTTCGGCCACCACGTGTCAGAGGCAGGCCGAGCTGCTCATCGGTGCCCACCCGCCACTGGGTGGTAGGCACATCCCCCTCCTTGCGCCCAGTCTCACCGGCTCGGAGGCGCCAGGGCCCCCCCGGGGCCGGGGCGGGCCGGGGAAGGTAATGTAATTCCGACCCAGCTAACCCGATTATGGCGGCCTGCACCGGGCCGGGCGGCGGCGGGGGCGGGTCTAAGGCGCAGGGGCCCGCCCGGCCGGGGGTCCCATTCCAGGGAAGGACGCAGAGTTCACACACTCCCAGCTTTTGGGTCGGCAGCCAGAGGTCACAAGGTCACCGAGCAGCTTCGGTCTTTCCCCACCTCACTTCTCTGACACGCTCCAGGCACAGTTTCTGGGACTTTGGGTGGGGTGAAGCGTCTATGGGAAGTGAAGCAGCTGGGACCCTCCGAAGGTTTCAGTGAGGTCCTATGTGTCGCCTGTGGCGATTTCGTCCTTCTGCCTTTGATGGGGGGAGTGTGTGAGAATAGATTTCCTAGGCGCAGAGTGGAGGGGCAGAATCCCGCATTGGTGCTCCCCTGTCGGGGACAGAACCCCAGCCCCAAGCTCCCACCGGCCTGCATTGGCCCGGGTTGAGCCACGGGTCTGCTTTACACCTATTTCAGAAAAAACGAAATTTTAAGAAACACAGGGCACTGATTACGGGCGCTCCTGGAAGGAGCTAGGGCCCCTACGCAAGAGGCCGGGAGGTGCACCAGGATCACCGGTCTAGAGTGGTTGTTCCCCGCCCCAGCCCACCGGACCCTCCCTGCCACCCCCTTCCCACACCTGTCCTCCTCCCTGGCCTCCAACTCGCCGGTGCGCCGTTCCCCAACAGCTTCCCATCGCAGCCAGGAAGCCACAACGAGATTTGGTCTTCAAGGACACTTAGGCGGGGGCCACAACGAATCCGAGAGTCGGCAGGCAGGACCCATCGGGAGGTGAAGAATAGGGGCTGTGGGAGGAGGCACCTGCGAGGAAGCCGGTGGGGCTGAGGAAGCCCAAAGACAGAGGCCGGTGAGGATGGAGTTGCGGTGCTCATCTCGGCTGACTCAGCGTGCAGCGGCCCGTACTCTGGCCCCTCCCGTGCTGAGCCTGGCTCCTAACACCCTCACCACCACCCCCTCAACCCCCACCATTCCCGCTGGCCAGTCTTCCCCGCGCTTGGCGCAAACAGGCGTCTCTTCCCCTTTAACGGGCCCGGCCCCGCCCCTGCCCTACCCCCAGCCCCCACTGCCCACCGAGGCTGATCTGTCAGTCACTGCCCCAGCCGGAGCCGGCCAACCCTATCCACCCCGGACTCGGGCAGAGGCCCCGGCAGCCCAGCGTCCATCCGCGCTTCAGAGCCAGCAAGGGCGCTCCTGGGGCCCCGGCAGGTCGCGCTCCCCAGGGATGCAAGTCCCTGTGCCGACGCCCGGCAGAGGCCGGCACGAGCGCGGCTACTCCGGGTGCACAGGGATGAAGCCGTCCCGGGGTCCCCGGCGCCCCGCCGTGGCCAGCCCCGCGGGCCCCTGAGGTCGCCGCCCCGAGCGCTCCTCTGCTGGGCTCCCAGAGCTGCCTGGGGCGTCCTCCCCAACCGCCGAACCTCCTGCGGTCCTCCCTGACCCGGACCCATGGAGCCGGCGGTGCTGGCCTCGCACAACCTCCCGCACCACGAGCCAATCAGCTTCGGCATCGACCAGATCCTGAGCTGCCCAGAACCCCCCGGGAGCGGTCTAGGCCCGGGTCGCCAGGGCCAGGGCCATGGGGAGAGTGCGGCGTTCTCGGGTGGATTTCACGGAGCCTCCAGCTACAGCCCCGCGGGCTCGCTGGCCCCGCTGCCCGGTAGCTCCGGCGTGGGCCCGGGCGGCGTGATCCGCGTCCCGGCGCACCGCCCGCTGCCAGTGCCGCCGCCCGCGGGAGGCGCGCCTGCGGTGCCTGGACCCTCGGGCTTGGGCGGCGCCGGGGGCCTAGCGGGACTCACCTTCCCTTGGATGGACAGCGGCCGCCGCTTTGCCAAGGACCGGCTCACGGGTGAGGTTACCCGACCCCTCCAGCGTCGTGCCGCACACTGACTCGGTTTCCTCATCTTTGATCCTTCTGCTCCAACTCAAGGTCCCCTTTCATAGCCCCCCATCATCCCAGGGCATCCTCCCCTAACTTGTATCTCTCCGTCCCGCTGCTGAGAGGCGATGGGGAGGGAGCTGCCGTCGATGCCCGCGTCCTCCGCTGCAGTCCACTGTCCACACCGCGGGGAGGGCAGGGCGAAGTTAGGGGACGTCTCTCCCTCACTCAGGGGGAGGGCCGTTTCTGCCGGGGCCCTTTTTTGTCTAGGGCAGGGCGAAGTTAGGGGACGTCTCTCCTTCAGTCAGGGGGAGGGCCGTTTCTGCCGGGGCCCTTTTTTGTCTGATGCGGGGCCGAGCTTGGGCACCCGGCAGCCCCAAGCGCGGGCGCTCCGCGGCCTGGGCAGCCGAGCCCTCAGCGACACCTTGGGCCACCCCCAAACGCTGCCTTGCTTTCTCCCTCCCTGTAGCCGCTCTCTCGCCCTTCTCCGGGACGCGCCGCATAGGCCACCCCTACCAAAACCGGACCCCGCCGAAGCGGAAGAAGCCGCGCACGTCCTTCTCCCGCTCGCAGGTGCTGGAGCTGGAGCGGCGCTTCCTACGCCAGAAGTACCTGGCCTCGGCCGAGAGGGCGGCGCTGGCCAAGGCCCTGCGCATGACCGACGCTCAGGTCAAGACGTGGTTCCAGAACCGGCGCACCAAGTGGCGGTGAGGCGGGGGTGGGCGAGGGGTCGCGGGCGGAGTCAGGTGGCGGCGCGGGCGGTGCGAGCAGCCTCGCTGACCCCCGCGTCTCCGCCCGCCCAGGCGCCAGACGGCGGAGGAGCGCGAGGCGGAGCGGCACCGCGCGGGCCGGCTGCTCCTGCACCTGCAGCAGGACGCGCTCCCGCGGCCGCTGCGGCCGCCGCTGCCCCCGGACCCGCTCTGCCTGCACAACTCGTCGCTGTTCGCGCTGCAGAACCTGCAGCCCTGGGCCGAGGACAACAAGGTGGCATCCGTGTCCGGGCTCGCCTCGGTGGTGTGAGCGACGCCTGCTCGACCGGCCGAGGGCTCTTTTCCGAACCGAGGCGCCGCGTGGAGCACCCAGCTGCCCAAGCTGTGGTCCCGTGGCAGCGGAGCGCGTGAGGAGGAGCTGGCCCTCAGGCTACCGTCGAGGGCTCCTCGGCCACCGCGGGCTCCCAGGCCAGTGTTGCGCGGTTGCCCAGCGCACTTAGACGCGGCCTTTCCCGCCATTTTTCATGCAGACCGTTGCACAGAGGCTGGAACCTCGGGCGCCAAGAGGGCGGGACCTGTAGGACGGTAGCCAATGAGGTGCGGGGATGGGGGCGGGCTGGCCAATGGGAGCTGCTCTCCTGAGGGACTCCGGACTCTTCCGTGGGTGGGTCGGAGCTGGGGTACCCCGGAGCCGGAGCCGGTTAAAAGCCGCGTTGGGATGGGGCAGCGGCAGCCCGAGCTGCCTGGGTCTGTACCAAAGGTGTGAAGGAAGGAAGGAAGGTGTCAACGACAGCGGAGTAGTGGAGGAGGCGCTGGAGAGCTAGGGTCTCACTGACTGTGACAGGAACCAGGGGGTTATCCACGCCGGGCATCTCATCCTTCAACTGTAAAATAATCGCTAAGGATTCCTTCCTGACTTTGAGCCTCATGTTGTCCGTGTATGTTCAACTGCTGACTACGTCCTACCACTTCAGCCTCACAAGGCGCCTGGGCGGCAGGCGAGGCAGATACTTATATCCCCGATGAAAGAGAAAATCTAGGAACACTAATCTGGCTGGGTGTCCCTCAGGGATGGAGAGGGGAGAGGGGGGAAGCAGTGGGCAAAGTTAATGGGCCCAGTGGAGTTAGGGTGAGCAGAATTTGGCAAATAATTAGGAAGTGACACACCTAAGAAGAATCAAAGATAATTCCAAGGTTGGAAATATAGAGGATCAGGAAATCAATGGTGTTGTGGACGATGAAGGGCAATTGGGAAGATAGGAGCAAGATTAACTCTGTAGGCAAAACTAAATCCTAGACCTAGAGAGAATAAGTTCTGGAAAAGCACCGTTGCAGGAGGTCACTGACATCCACATAGAGGTGAAGACAGATGGAATGACGAATCTTCAAGGGAGGAAACTCTGAGAAGAAAAGCAGAATTCTAACGATAAAATCTTTCCACCAAATTCTACAAAGACATTTACAATGTGCAAGATGATGGAGGAGAGCAAAGTTAAGAGTCCAAGGGAAGAAAAGGGAAAGGTGTACCCAACTGGAAAGAAAGGAAAACATGGTGTTCCTGAAGTTGTTAGAAAGACTTTAGCTTGTGGGTGGGCCAGGGGCTGCTGGGAAGCTGTTGATGGGAAGTTGAGAGTTTGGGAATGGTTGCAATAGCTCTGAGGTTTATGAAGGGGCAGGATTTAAGTTTCATGAGGATGAAAGGGAAGATTTTGTCTGATTCCTATATTCTTCCTCCCCTGGAGGCAGGAGCAGTGTGATAGAAGGAAGTGAGATTTATGCAGGGTCAAAGGCCAATTGTAGTCAAACTTCTCGTGTTCTGGGTTAGTGACAGCTAGGTTGGTCATAGCACAAAGGCCTGACCAGAGGTGGGAATCGGGCAAGAGGATATCTCTGGAGGAGTTGGCCCTGAGTCTTTGATATTGTCATCTCTAACTCATGGATGTTGTATATGCTGCTGCAGAACCAAACTCAAATTTGACACCATAGAAAAAGACCTTTTATAGACCAAAAGGGAGCACAAGGATGGGTTTGGCATAAATTGGGGTTATGGGGAGTATGTCAGTTCCTCTCCAATAAATAGAAGAAAGCTAAGGAAAGGGTTCTACCCTATGTAGACTGCGGCTTACCCGATTGCCTCTACTCCCAGCCCATCGTTTGTTGAGACTTAGGTTCCAGGATTTACATTTGACCCTAAACTGTGGGCCTCTAAATCTGGCTGGCTGCCTTGGTGCTAGCCTGAGGGAGGATCTGATGTGATGAGATGAGCTCAGCTCTATTCCTTGGCAGGTCACTGCAGGACACAGGCATTTCCAAGCTCTTGGGTGGAGGAGGATTCACTCCCTGTAGAAGAATCTGCCATTTCTTCCCTCAGCTGGTTCAGGAGGTCTCTGCTTTCACTGGGGGGCAAGTTACTCAGGAAGTATGGAGGGGCCAATTCCACCAGCCTGACAGAGAGACTCATAATTAGATGATTTCTGTATCCTCTCTTATAATGCAGCTTCTTAAACTTCTCACTACCCCTTCCACAAACCTTGTCTCCTCAAATCATATGCTACTACAAATCACTATGATCCCTTCCTCTTCTTAGGGTTCTCTAACTTCCCAGCCATAATTTTGGCCCCAGGAAAAGGAATGGGCGATGTAGGATGGTGTCAGGGAACTCACATCTGTGGCTGGATCTCAGAAACAATGGAAAGGCAGTTGTCTTTGGAAATGGAGAAATTGTGGTAAAGCACCCACGGTGGGGGTCTGGCTGGAGCGCGGCGGCTTCGGTAGCAGCAGTATGGGGAGAGCTGGGCCACATGCTTATGGGTTAGGAGCAGGTAATTTCCAGTCCCATCTGTGTCTCGGGCCACCTCATTGAAAGGCAAAGATATTGAAGGAATAAGTGAGAGAGAAGCAGACAGTAGAAGAAAGAAAAGGGGGCTGAGAAGGAATTAGTAAGGGTGGTGAAAGTATTAAAAGTAAGGCATTATCTCTAGGTGTTACAGTCCCTCTCACACCATATGGCGTTTTCCATAGCCCCTTGTACTACAAAGACTCAAAGGAAAAGTTTCTCCTGGTTCTAAAGAATCCTTTGAGTGGCCAACTGGACCCCAGTTTTAGAGGTGGTATACCAATCTTTGGTCCCTCTGCCTTCTGCTCCTTTTATGACCCTCACCCCAACTCTTCCCCCTAACCTTGAGGAAGTATCCTGACACCAGTGCTTTCTGAAGGTCTCTGCGATTCTGCTCAGAGCCAAAGGCTGGTTGGGACAAAGGAAGTTCAATTCGTTGCATGAGTTCTAGGAGTTCTCCTCGAAGTATATGGGCTTGGCACAAAGCTGTCCAGTTTAGACCCCGAGCCTGGCACCAAGCCTTGTCTGCTCCACCTAGGAGAGGAAAGGAGTGGAAACTTCAGCTACAACTAAAGTCCCTGAGATCACCGAAAGAACTCAACCCTTGGCCAAAGGCCTCTTCTTCCTGGGCAGAGAGATCTGTCAGCTGGTTGTACACCACTTCCCCTCTTGGGAAAACCTGGGATTCTATAAGAGGATGCAGAGTGGGCCACTCACTCTGTATAAAGGCTTCATACACCTGAATCAGAGAGCTGTGATCACCATCTGCATGTTCCAGGGCCCGTCGCAAGGCAGCTTCTTCTGCACAGAGCGGAGGACTGGTAAACCCAGGGGCAGCTGGAGGCAGAAGAGAGGAAGGTTGATTTGGGAAATGAGACAAGAGAGCAGTACAGGTAGGACACTGAAAAGGTAGAACTGTCACTTTGGGAGCTTTATTCAAAAGACATTGATGACTTCTAGGTGCTATGCACTTTATCAGACATTGGAGATAAATAAATGAAAGGCAGTCTCTGCCCTCAGGGAGCTTAGAGTCCGGTGGGAGAGAAGAACAAGTAAACAAACTTGATTGGTGTGGGGGCCAACAGCTGAAGTCTGAGTAGGAATTAGCTTGGTGGAGAAGGGACAGAGAGAGTATTCTAGACTGTGGGAACAGCAAGGCACAGAAGTGAGTAGCCTGGCATATTTGGAGAATTACAAGCACCTTGTATAAGTGGAGGGAATGGCGTGTGTGGCAGAGTAGCAGGAGATAAAGCTAGAGAGGTAGGTACGGGGGCCAGGCCATGAGAGGCTGGATGTGCCATGCAAATGAGTTTACATTCTGTCTGGGAGGTACAGAATAGCTGCTGAAGAAGAGCTTTTAAGTAAGAGAGTCCATGTGTTTGAAGTTGTTCACAGGAGTAGTTAGGAGGCTACTAAAGGAATCCAGCTGAGCAGTGACGAGGATCTAACATGGGCACTGACAGTGAGTATGGTGAAGAGCAGACGAATTAAAAAAACCATTTAGGAGATAAAAATGAAAGAGCCTGGAGAAAGATTAGTCTAGATGACTAGATTAGAATGATAGTGGAGCTGCAGAGATGATGGTATGATTTTGTGGTGGTGGTGAGGTGTGCTTGAGGGGGCTGCCCGGTGGCGCAGCGATTAAGTGCGCATGTTCTGCTTTGGCGGCTCGGGGTTTGCCGGTTTGGATCCCGGGTGTGGACACGGCACTGCTTGGCAAGCAACGCTGTGGTAGGCGTCCCACATATAAAGTAGGGGAAGATGGGCATGGATGTTAGTTCAGGGCTAGTCTTCCTCAGCAAAAAGAGGAGGATTGGCAGTAGTTAGCTCAGGGCTAATCTTCCTTAAAAAAAAGAAAGAAAGAAAGAAAGTGCTTGAGTTCAGTTCTGGGCTGAGGTACTATGGACCTCTGGTAGAAATGTCTGTCAAAAGTCAGATATATAAATCTAAGATTCAGAAGAATGGTATTGGCAGGGAGATACAAGGTTTGGAAATTTTAAGTGTAAAGGTGACACTTCTGACCATGGGTGTGGATGAACTTGCTCAGAGAGTTCAGGGAGTGAGAAGATAAAAGGGGCAAGGATAGAACCCTGAAGTCCAACTTCCAGTGGGTGAGCAGAGGACAAAGAGCCCCAGGAAGAGGTTAAAGGGATGGCTAGAAAGGTAGGATGGAAACTGCAAGGAGTGGGTCACAGAGGCTCAGGGAAGGGGCAGTTTCAAGGTGGGAGTGGTTGCCATTCTCAAGTGTCAAAAGAAGGTCATGAATAAGGGCTTACAAGTGCTCACTGGATTAGGTCTCTGGGAGGTCACTAGTGAGCTGAAGGTCATTTCAGTAGTTGTGTTGGGCCTGAAGCTGGAATGCAGTGGGTGAGGAATACACTAGATAGAACAGGATAGAGATTATTCTGTAGAGCTGAAGGGGAGTACCGGGTTGAGGAAGAGAGGTATGGAGTTTAGTAATAACAGATAGGAGAGATTTCAGCAAGTTAAGGGGCAAGAACCAGCAGAGGGAAAAGGCTAGAGATAGGAGAGGGTTAAGTGATCAAGTCTTGTTCTTTAGGCACTGTGAGGGGTGGAGGCTGGAGCTTAGGGTAAGGGCCAGCCTTAAGAGACCAAAATACCCAGGGGAGGACTGAAGTGGCCGTGAGAGGCAGAGAGAGAGGTAATTTATACCGGTGAGCATGGCGGCGAGGGTGAGCATCTCATCCACACAGTCAAACTCGCACGAGGCCAGCAGGGCTTTGGCCAGCTCAGGGGGCAGGGGGAACTCTGAAAGGATGACTCCCAGGTCTGACAGGTCACCGTCATCATCCAGGGCTGCCAGATAGTCTAGGTCTTCCAGGGCCTGCATCAGTGCTTCTGGAGCTGGTGAGGAAACAGGGCTGACAAGGCAGGGGTCCCAGAGCCTGGCGGTCACATGTTAGGACTTGGGTAGGATGGGTGCTCACCAGGCTGGTCCAGGAAGTGACACTCCCCTGGCTCTGCAATCTGTCTCCTCTTTAGTAGTAATAGCAGGGGGCTCAGATTCTCCTCACACACCCTGGGTTGGGGCAGTGGGGGAGCCTCTAGTTCTAGGAAGGACTTAGGATACAGGCAGAAGCAGGATCCTGAGGGGAGAAAGACCTGGGAAAGAAGACCACTGTAGATTTCTCAGGGCTGGCGTGTTGGTGCCTCTGTCGTGTTTGACCTCAGGGAGGGCAAAGGCTCTTACCTGGTGGGACCCCTCTTGCCCGCAGTCGTCTTGCCTCTGCCTGACACCTGCTGATTGGCCTCAATACTTGGGATTCTGCTCGGATCTGAGGATTGTACACCTGTCACCACCCCCCAATCCAAGTCAAGACAGATCAGAGCAGGCCATTTCCATCTTTAGTCCCCACATGCCCTCATCTCTCTCACTCACACTTCGAAGCTCCAGTCCTGAGTCGATGACATGTCGGATGGAAGGGAGGGAGAAGGAGAAGTCAGCCAGCCAGTGAGTGACCACGACCTTTCGGGCACCCGAGTCTATGTCCTGGTACACAGCCTGAATGGCTTGACCATGGCCTGGGTGAAGGGGCAGCACCTGTGGTGGAGGCCTTTGGAGAGCCAAGTGCCCTGCCTCCCTGGACAAGGATTCACAGCACAGGGAAATTTCCTGAGGAAAGGGGCAGGGCATTAGGACAGTTCTCACCTTTTTGGGTCACAGACCCCTTTGAAAAACTGATGAAAGCTATGGCCCTTCACTCTGAAAAAATGCACATACTCACAAAGGTGGGGGTGTTATAACTTCAGGAATTCACTGAACCACAAATCTCTGCATTAGATGGGATCAAAAAGAGGGTGGTAGACCTCTAGCCTGAAATCCTTGAGTTTTCCCTCAGGACCCCAACAGGGAGTAAACCCTACAACTCTAATGTTCCTAACAAGCACTGCTCCCGTCCCCCGGGCCAGGCAGCTGGTACATGAGTACCTCCTTTTGCAGCCCTTTTACCTCCTCACTGGGCAGGTACACAAGCACATCTCCTGGAGCTTCCTGCTGACACAATTCAAGCACGGCTTGGCAGGCAGCTTCTACTCGATCAGTGGGGACAGAGTCCCTGTAGATGGGAGTGGGACACTCGCCAGGCCCTCTGGGTACATGCACAATAGGAGGATTGCCCCAGAAGGCTTGGAGCTTAGGTTCAAGGGCTGGGTCAGTAACCACAATCACTCTAGGGTCCCCTGGAAGGTTTCCCAGCTTGGCATCTCGCAGCAGCCCCTGGAGCAAGTCTGAGGCCACTGACCGCTCCTGAGCCTCATCCAGCACCAGTACATCCCAGGCTCCAGTGCCCCGGGTCGAGGCCACCTCCTGCAGAAGCAGCCTGTCCCAGCAAAACCTGTTGACATTGGCAGTAGGCAGAGGAGTCAGTGTGGACACTGACCAGCCCCAGAAGTCCAAGCGAGCTTCTCCCCAAGGGGCCTAGACTTTGATAGTGAAGGTCAGAAAAAGACCTTGTGACTGACTTCCTGAGCCTGTGGACTCATAACTGTGACCCCCAACCCCCAAAACAAGGGTGACACTTTGTTCTCAAGCTGTACTCCAGCTAGGAAAGCAAGACTTTCGTGATGAGGGTGAGGTTGAATGTCTGAGTCCCTAGCAGGTGTTAAAGGGCTTAATTCAGCAGTTGCATCATGCATGATTTCAAGGGTGAGCTGGGCTGAGGGAGGGTATGGTGAGATGTCAGAGAACTGGGCTTGTTTCTACTGGGTGAGGGGAATCAGATATGGGTCAGGCCTGCAGGAGGCCCCACCTGAGTAGGGTGTCAGGCCCAGTGCAGTCCTCCTGGGGGATGCTGTATCCAACCTCATGGCCCAGGGTCAGGTCCATCTCATCAGCAACCCGCAGGGCCAGGCTCAGGGCTGCCAGCGGGTAGGGCTGAGTGACAGTTACCTGGCCCTTCTGGAACCCCCTGGCCAGTACAAACTCTGCACACCACTGAGGGATCTGGGGTAGGGGTGGGGAAGGACAACCAGTCAGTGAAATACAGGACTTCAGTTAGAAATGCTGGGGGAGCTATAGCCAGTTTAATCTCCTGATTTAGGGAGTCCCCTGGTCCTTCACCAGCCACCCTAACCAGTCTCCCTTTGCCCACCTCCCCTCTCACCCCTTGCAGCCCAACCCCCTTTGTCCAGGGAAGGGCCAGTTCCCTAGTCCCTCCCTTTGTCCAATCCCAGAATCTCCCCCCACCTGGGTGCTCTTGCCAGAGCCAGGCTCTCCAGACACCAGCACCACTCCACTGGGGCTACTCTCCAATTGCTCCAAGAAGATAAAGCGAGCAGCCCAGATGGGCAAGGCTCGGCGCTGCTCAAGCAGCTCGTAGTAGCGAGAAGAGAAAGGGAGCCCATCAAAGGGGTTCACAGCCAGTCCAGACTCCCCAGGGCTTGGGCCAGACTCCTCTGCCAGCCCGAGAAGCTGAAAGGCCATGGTGGCTGATTGCCAGGACCTACAGAAGGCAGGGCAGTCATTAAGGGCTCATATTTGGTGGCTGACACCATCTTCCCACCTCAGCCCTGATCCCTAACCTGTACCCTCAGGTGATAATGCACTGGGGTCCATCCTTCCCAGCATTTCTTGCCTGCTAGGGAATAGTGAAGACTTGAGTCTCCAAGTAAGGAACTATCAAAAGTGGACTATTACCCTGTAGTCAGACAGTAACAATCCTGTGACTAATACGGGTCCTCAGGGGCAGCAGGAATTATGTGAGACCTGTTAACCTGTGAGGAGGTCCCCAGGAGAAAAGGATAAAGAATAAGAAGAGGAGGGGAGACAGGAACTGGGGAACAGGGCCACAAGGATCCTGGATTCAAACCTGCTTGCAGCTGTGAGACGCGTCAGGATGGCAGCCAGTTCGAGACCCACCCAGCCAGTCACCACCAACCCTGGCCTGGGTGAAGTACAAAGGTAAATTCCGGCTCCACCCTGGGGCTTGGCTCAAATGTTGAATCATAAAGACTGGTTTTGGGGTGGGGCCATTTGCTCCACCTTATTTAACACAGTCAGGAGCCTATGGAAAACAGGCTCCAGCCACCACACTGAGCATGTGTGAACTCTATAAACACCTGTGTACTGTGCTCATTAGTGAAGGGCATTCTGGGACTTGTAGTTTTGCAGCTGTTTCTTCACAAATCAGGGCTCAACACCCAAGTTACAGTCCAGTTGCTGCTGAGTCTTCAGTTCAGTTACACTTCCTTAATATCGCTCATCTCTTGACACACGGAGGTAATTTCAGACAGTTCCGTTCAGACCACCCCCTCACAAACCCCCCAAGAGGCCCTCACTCCCATTCCCCCAAACCAAGGGAAAAGGAACCTGCTCAAGGGGTTTTTGAGACCCAGAGAAGCAACAGAGACCTTGAGTGAAAACCCTGAATTTAATGTGACATTGGGGGGAGCCCCATCCCTCCCATTTTACCACCCACTCATCCGGCCTGTTGTGAGTTGGGTAAGGGCTGCCCCCAGTCTCCGTCCTGCGGCTCTGGGTGCCATCCTGTGCTCAGTCAGCCTCCTGGGCCTGTCTCTCTGTGAATCGCCTATGGGACACAGGGAGAAGACGTTGTGTGGACTTTGCCATATTAGCTCCATATTTAGCTCCCTTCTCCAACCTGCCCCTTCCTACCCATTGTCCTCTAAGCCCCTCACCTTCTCGCGTATTCATATAGTGCCTGCTTGCGCTCCTGTAGGCTCTCCTGCCGGGCCCAGGAGGACTTGGCAAATGTTAGAGCTGTGGGCTGAGGGGTCACCGGGCCAGAGCTGGGGAACTGAGGTGATCACAATGTCAGAGGGCTTGCGAAGTCATCATCATTAAACACGCATCGAATGCCTACTTTATAAGAGAGGCACTGTGCTAGGGTCTCAGGATTGAAAAAGAGATGTCAGGGCTTGGGAGTATGTAGATTGCCCCATCCCACCCCAAGTCTTGGACCTGACCATTTCCTTGGTCTCACCTTGGGGGCAGAGGCTGTGGAAAGGGACTGGGTCCCTTCAGTGATGTCTTCAGGCATGAAAGCTACAGCTCCCTCGAGTAGATTAGTGATAGTCAAGTCTACACAGCCAGTCCTGGCTGGGGAGAAGGGAAGAGAGGAAAGGGAAGTCTGTTTCTCTGCTTACCTTCTCCCCTCACCACCCACTGTTCCTTTCTGTGCCTGTCTTCTTGTGTGAGGCTACCCCTTCCCATACCCAGGTCTCTCTGGATGACACCCAGTGGCACATGGGGTAAAACCTCCTTGACTCTCTGAGCCAGAGCTGCCAGCTGCACATCAGGAGAAGGGCCAGGGGAGGGAGGGAAAGAAGGCTGGGCTGCAAAAAAGAAATCCAAAATATGGTGAGTGGAAAACTAGGAGGAAGGACAAGCTGACTAGTATAGGATAGGGAGAAAATTACAATAGGCTGGAAAAAACCCAAAAAACTTTGTGTACAGAGACCACACACCTGTCTGGGGGCGTGATCTTGGGTGTCTTTGTCGCTTCATGTGCTCTGCTTTGTCTGCTGGAGTGAGTCGTGTCCCTGTCTGGCCCAATTCTTTGGCCACCAGCTAGGCAGAATTGGAAGGTTGGAAGTGTCAAGGTCTCAAGCCTTCCTCCCCCTCCGCCTAAGGAAAGACCCCACCTCCACCCCGCCTGTGTACCCTACCACCTGTTGTACACGGAGCGCAAACTCCTCATTCCCCTCCCCCAGCTGGCGATGAACAGGACGGAGCCACCTGCAAAAAACAATCCAGGACCATGTTGGGGGCACCTGGGGCAGAAGCTGTCACCCTCTCCTCACTTTGATACTTTTCATGGAATAGTGGTGGTGAGGGTGGGGAGACAGTAAATACTTTGTATTGCCTCTGTGGTGGAACTTGATATTAAAAGATCTGCATATGGACTGGGCAGAGGCAACTACTTCCTTGACCTTGAGGTGAGTGTTTCCCAGCCACCATAAAGTGAGGACAGTTAATACCTTACTTGATACACCGTGAAAGGGACGAAAAGTGACCACAGCAATTCTGAGACCCAGGAGGCATCTGACACCGTCTGAGGGGAGGGCATGAAGTGAGGTCTAAGCCAGGGCCAGAAGTGGGAAACTTCCCCTCCAAGACCCAGAGATTCCCTGTCCAACACACACTCACCACAGAGACTAGGGGTCTCTGGACTCGCAGGGTAAGAGGTTGTACCACATCCTGGATAGAAAACGGCCAGGAACTAGAAGAAGGAAAAGAGGGTAGGGTGAGATTCCAGCCAGCCTAGGCAGCAGTCACACCTGACTTAAAACAGGAACTGTCAAACTGTACAAGTAGATAAATGGAAAATAAAGAGATTCTGGAGAAAGAACTGAAAGAGGACCGGAGGGAAATGAACTAGGAATGGAGGGAGTAAGGCTGAAGAAGGTTGTGAAAACGCAAGGGCCCCCAAGCCTGACCACCAACCACCCAGTTGGAGACCGATACCTGTGCTCACCCACCTGAAGCGCAGGAGCCCCTCCCGGCCATTGGTGGCCTCTTCCTCAGGGAACAGCAGCAGAGGGGTGGGGGGAAGCCTCGTGGCAGCGCAGAATCTCTTGAGTGACTCCACCAACTCCCCCTGCCCATCCATCTCCATGAAGCCTCGAGACCAGCACACAAAGCTGGGAGGACTATTGAGCAGAGGCTGGAAACGGAGAGGAGACAAAGCAAGGAGAAAAGAATACTGAGAAGTGAGAAAAACTGACAGATGAGGTAGAGATGCGGGGCTAGGAGTAAGGCTCAGTATCTTGTGGTCCCCAAGGAACCACCCCGTGGCGCTATCGGCTTCACCCCCCCCACTCACAGTGCTACAGCTGGTGAGCAGGTTGACTATGTTGTGGTCGAAAGGTGTCACGTGGTTGGAAATGAGGACCCTGACGCGGTGATCCCGGAGTTCCGAGTCCTCCTGCCGGGCCACAAGCCCCAGCACCGCACACATGGTCCGCACCACGAACCTGGGGGGAAAGGCAGCGGTGACTGCGCGGCCTCGGGGCGGGCCCAGCCCTGACCCTCCCGGAGCGCCCGGGTCGGCACCTGCGAAGGACGCTCTCTGGTAGTGCGCAGCTGACCAGGAAGACGTGGATCCCAAGAAAGAGGCGCAGGACGAGGAGGCAGAACCCGACGGGAGCGTAGAGCAGCAGCGCGAGGAGCAGGAAGCCGTCACCCGGGAGCCTGGGGGCGAGAGGCGGGGTGACCGGGCGCCGAAGGCGAGTGGACGCGAGAGCCGGCCTCTTCCCGCCAGGACTCTTACCGGTGCGAGTCAAAGAGCCGCTCCGGCCCCGGCGCCGGGGGAGGTTCCATCGCTAATGCTTCAGGGGTGTCGGGCCACCGCCAGCGCCATCTTCGCGCCCCGCCGCAGGGGCTCTTGGGAAGGCGGAGTCGCAGGGCATCAACCCAGGGTGCCCGGACCCGAAATCCTGGGGCGCCCCGGAAGGGCTAGCGGTCCCAGCATGCCTTGCGGGCCCTTGGGCCACCTCACAACTTGCGTCCTGCCGGGACCACAATTCCCGGCATTCGCGGGGCGGGGGCGGAGCCGGCTCCTGGAATCCTGGGTTCTGGCGTGCACTTCTGGAGGACTTCAGGTACCGGCGTGCCCCGCGTCCCGCTGTCCGCCAGCTCGCGTCCAGGGCGCCGCCTCTGTGTAGGGCGGGCGAGGAAGCAGCTGAGGCGGAGCTGATGGCTGCACTGAGGGCGGGGCAGGGTGCAGGCTGGAGCCTACGGGGATGGCGGGCTTTGGGGGGGGTTCGCTGGGGGAAGGGACCCCTGTTGACCCCTGACCTCCGGGCCCTGCTGACGTCAGGAACTTCTGACCCTCGGGCCCGAGTGACTCATGGGACCCCCAGTCTCCAGGCCCGGTTGTCTGGGGGGGTCCCTGAACAACGGACATGTCTGACATCGGGGACTTCGGATTCCCGAGCACAGCTGACTGGGGGGAACCCAGATCCCCGGACGCGGGAGGACTCAGGGACCCCTGGAACCCGTCCTCGCGTGTGGCTGGCGGTGGCGCTGGGCGCCGGGGGGGCAGTCCTGTTGTTGTTGTGGGGCGGGGGTCGGGGTCCTCCGGCCGTCCTCGCCTCGGTCCTCGGCTCGCCGCCCACCTCTCCCCGGAGCCAGTACAACTTCATCGCAGACGTGGTGGAGAAGACGGCACCTGCCGTGGTTTATATCGAGATCTTGGGCCGGTAACGGTGGGGTAGACCAGGAGGCACGGAAGCCGCAGGCTAGAGGGCGGGGGGAGCAGGAGGGGTTTGAGCCCCCCCACATCCGTGCTTTCCCCCCATCCCAGGCACCCTTTCTCCGGCCGCGAAGTCCCTATCTCGAATGGCTCAGGATTCGTGGTGGCTGCCGACGGGCTCATCGTTACCAACGCCCATGTGGTGGCTGATCGGCGCCGAGTCCGTGTGAGGCTGCCTAGCGGCGACACGTATGAGGCTGTGGTCACAGCTGTGGATCCCGTAGCAGACATTGCCACGCTGAGGATTCAGACTAAGGTGGGCGTCTGGCCGGGCCCAGTCTGTTTGGGGCTGTGAATTTGCTCATATCGCCAGATGACAGCTTTCTTGTACCCATTCTCCCTTAGGAGCCTCTCCCCACACTGCCCCTGGGACGCTCAGCTGATGTCCGGCAAGGGGAGTTTGTTGTTGCCATGGGAAGTCCCTTTGCACTGCAGAACACAATCACATCTGGCATTGTCAGCTCGGCTCAGCGTCCAGCCAGAGACCTGGGCCTCCCCCAAACCAATGTGGAATACATCCAGACCGATGCAGCTATTGATGTGCGTCCTGATATGAGAGAAATGACAAACTGGGTTGGGGGAGCAGGGAGAGGATTTGTGGTGTAGGCACCAACCGTGATAGATGGTGGATGAGCTGATATACAGAGGTTGGGGTGCAAAAATGTGGCTACTCATTTATGGACTGGGAGAGACTTTGGAGAAATTGCCTACATCCTGGTTATGGTTATGCCCCCAGGCATAGAGTCCCTGAATCTCTTCCATATATTCTCCTTGTCATGCAGTTTGGAAACTCTGGAGGTCCCCTGGTTAACCTGGTGAGTGGGACATCCTTCTTTCCAAGAATCCCTGCTCCAGGTCAGTGTGGAAGGGGTGGGTTTTCCCTAATTCAACGATGTTTGGTCAAGATTCTGAGCAGTCTCCCAGAATCCAATCAGATCTCCCCAACTCCCCATCGCTCCCTGATACTCTTCAGGTATCCCCATCTCCTCCTATTTGTCGGGGTTAGGGAATAGTGGGCTCTGTCCCCTGCAGGATGGGGAAGTGATTGGGGTGAATACCATGAAGGTCACAGCTGGAATCTCCTTTGCCATCCCTTCTGATCGCCTACGAGAGTTTCTGCATCGTGGAGAAAAGAAGAGTGAGTCTGGCTTAGGGGGAGGGGCATTCATTGGGCCTGGCTGGAGAAGGGTTTATTAGGAGAGGGAGGGGAAGGAAGGATATAGCCGGGTGGGGCTCATTTGTCCCTCTATCACAGATTCTTCTCTTGGAATCAGTGGGTCCCAGCGCCGCTACATTGGGGTGATGATGCTGACCCTGACTCCCAGGTATGAGCTTCAGTAGTGACCTGTAGGACCACCAGTGTACTCAGTTGTGGGCAACTTGGCAGTTCTGTAGAGCTTTGTTCTACTCTATCAATTTTCTCCTTATCTGAGGTGCCTCACATGTGGAGCTATCAGAAGAGCTGTCCTCTCTCGTCATCATGACTTTCTCACCCCCTCCAATTTGCACACCTGCACCAGATTGATTTCATCCCGTTACTCCATTAACCTGTGTTTAGGAGCCATTTTCCATTTGTCTCCAATTCTACCTTCCCACGTGCATATACTTTGTTACAGCCAACCTTATTTCCTACTCCCATGTTTTTATTTATGTTGTTCTTGTTTTTATAGTTAAATATCAGACCCATCCTTCTAGGGGCAGCTTAAGTTTTACTCTCTCCTTAAAGCTTCTCTTAAGATTTTAGGATGACCTTACTGCTATTGATTTAACATTGTGTGTCATTTGGAATTGATTACCTTTTATATACATGTCCCACTTCCTAACTGCCAGAAGCAGAAAGTGAATTGCCTTTGTCTAGGGTACCTAGTGCATGCCCTGTCCATACAGCTGTCAGTGTGTTGATGAGAGATTTGAGGTGAATCCAAGATGAGGAGAGTGCCTCGGTCTGATTAACCAGGTAATCTGTGTCCTTTCAGCATTCTTGCTGAGCTACAGCTTCGAGAACCAAGCTTTCCTGATGTTCAGCATGGCGTGCTCATCCATAAAGTCATCCTGGACTCCCCTGCACACCGGTGAGGGACACACTGTACTGAGAGGTGGGGATGGGTGAGGTGTGCATGTGCCTTTGAACTGGGCTGGCTACTCCTTCCTTTCTGTCTGTCTTCGTCTTTCAACATAGGGCTGGTCTACGACCAGGTGATGTGATCTTGGCCATTGGGGAGCAGCTGGTACAAAATGCTGAAGATATTTATGAAGCTGTTCGAACCCAATCCCAGCTGGCAGTGCGGATCCGGCGGGGACCAGAAACATTGACCTTATATGTGACCCCTGAAGTCACAGAATGAATGGATCTGCAAGAGTCTGAGTCTCCTGCGCTGATTTCCACCTTGCTGTCCTGGGATAGGCTCTGACAGCACCTGGACAGAGAAGTAAATGAAGCAGTGGCGGGGGCAGGTCCCTTCAACCACCAGCACCAATCCCTGGGCTCTGAGGAATCACAAAAACACTTTTTATATAAAATAAAATTATACCTAGCAACATGTTATAGTAAAAAATGAGGGGAGAGGGGGCGTTGGTCTTTTCACCCACAAAAAGGCTAGAGGTAAAGCTATCCCCCTGCACTGAGGGGCGATACTGGAGCTGACCATCCTGAGCTCCCTATTTGAGAAAACGAGCCACTGCCATCTGTTGTTCTGGGCAGTTAATCAGGTGCTGCTCTTGGTGGCGTGCTCAGCTTGGTGCTGGAGCTGGGAGCAAAGATTCCCCATGCTTGGCCACAGATCAGACAGCTGGCCTAGGAAGGAGGGCGATAACTTCTGCTTGACAGTTCTACATCCACAGCGCACGCTGGATGAGTATGTGGGCCTGCTGATGTCAGGGGTTCCTTGGTAAGCTCCTGAGGTAATGGCAGCCTCACACCCCTGCCACGAGGGGCCAGTGGTGGTTTGCAGAGGAGGGTGGCAGCACCTTAGATGATCTGGTTGCTGGTCTGGCCAGGGTAGCGCTCAAACTTCCTGTTGGCTTCTTCACTCAAGGCATCACCTGTAAGGTGAACGGGTGGTTTGGGCAGGAAAACAGACCGATTGTGGGGAAGGGTGGGTAGAAATGGAGTGGCTGGGAGACTGAGAGGTGGGTGGGAAGACTTGGAAACCACATAGGGAGAAGTGAATGAAGGCCTTTCCCTCCCATCCCTGAGTCTTTCTGGGCTGCTCTTCCCACCAAATACCAATGTGGCAGTTGTGCACCCAGATGCGATGTCCATCATATTTGCAGTTACATTTCATTGCATTGTTGGTGAAGTCACTCTCTGCTACTTCAAAATTGGGGTTGATGACCACCTGTGAGTGGGAGAAAGGCAACTTAACCTGCTGCAGTCCTCAGATCCAAAGTCTCTTTAATAAACACTCCTCCCACTTGCCAGCTGGAAATCTCAGACCCCAGGCACCTGCAGGATGTAGTTTCCTGGCTTCACATCTGTAATGTCGATCCACTGACAGTCGATGTCATGCCGGTAGAGATCCCAGCAACCCACAGTGATGCCCTGCTCTCCAAAGTTGGCACACTCATACCTCTTGGAGACATCTGAAGGGATTGGCATATGTCAGTATGAGGCCAGCGTAGGATGGAGATACTGTAGTCCATTCTAGGCTCCAACTCACCTTCCTGACACTCGGTGTCTTCTAGACAGAAACTAGCTTTGTGGCCCTCAGCCACCTTGGTGCCATTGGGGGTCAGGATGTCATAGTGAGTGAAGATGTCCATACTGTGGTAATGCCTGTGGAGACAAGCGACAAGGGAACCTGTTTCCTTCCCTGCCCTTGCAGGCTTGCCCCATCCCCAGTGGCCTTGCCTTTCTACTTTACCCTCTCACCCATGACACTCGTGCCACACCCAAGAGTGGCGCCCAGCCTTGGGTCTGAAGTCAGCTCGTCCCAGGTTGTGGATCTGGGAGGAGAATCGGAGCAGACGCCGGTGGCCGTAAGGCCAATTGGCTGAGCGGGCCGAGCGGGCCAGGCAGTTCTCTTCCGCAGCACAGTACAACATGTGCAGGGGCCGGTCTTCGATGTAGGCTGTCTCTTGCACCAGTGCTGAGTGCAGCAGCAGATCAGATGCAGCTGCACCGAGGAAAGAAGGAGAGGGTTAGAAGTCACTGCTGAGGGGTAAGGACAGATGGGGTGCTTCTATCCCCTGTAGATTGTGTGAGGCTGGTTCCCCACAGGGAAGGAGTACCCCTCCAGATTACAGCTCTCTCTTTCCCTTCAAAGTGGGTGGCCCTGGCTTGCGTCACCCTACGCATCACTTACTCTCAGAGCAGATGACTCCAGCAGTGAAGTGGGTTCCTGTCCTCTTGCAGGCAATGTGGGTGCTGTGATGAGCACACTGGTCCAGGGACAGCTCAGTCCCTGTGCAGCGCACTCCACTCATCACCACTTCTGTTACATTCCCTGAGTCCCAGTACCAGGTCTCCTGGGGACATATGTAGGCATTTCTGTGAGGCCCCTCCATCCAGCCTTCTGGGTCAGGTGACTCATTTCCATAGTCCTCTGCCCGATCCCAGGCTTTGGAGGCAACATCATAGCTTCCCCTCTCCTTCCCACTCACCTGCAGGCCATGGTTGGCATAGCCCAGTCCAAGTTGCCTACAGGCCACCATGGCCTCCAGTGTCCCCCAGTCATCCCCACAGATGAGGCCCCAGCGAAGGGGACCAGGTCCCCCTATTTGTACTTCGACTCGCCCCTCATGTCGGCTGCGGCCCCCACTGAGTCGGATCTGTAGTGACACAGAATGGAAGCACTGGGGAAGCTTTTGGGGAGGGGTAGTGGAAGTCTGTAGCAGGCATGTGGCTGAAGGGTGATTCAGAGGTACATAAAGGGCTAGCAAGTGGTGGCATCAGGCGGGAGTTGCAGGATGGCATGGGCCTGGGGCAGTGGGGCCATAAGACTGCAGATCATGACCAGGACTGGATAGGATGAGAGATACCTGAACGAAGGTGGAAAGCAGACTGACCTTGGTGTCTACCCCAGTGTATGGCAGGTTGCATCGGACTCCAGCGTCTTGGCTATGGGAACAGTCCTCAGCTGTGATGTTCTTGTGGGGGCACTTCCAGAGAGAGGGTTCCTGTCCAGAGCATCGAACTTCACTCAAGTGTATGGCACCCATGCCTAGGATCAGAAGCCAAAGATTAGAAAGTTGTAACTGCACCTTCATTGTCTCCCCAGGGGTCTCCTTCTTCCCAAGGAATGTACCTCCCAGGAATGTGTACCTCCTCCTTCCCTCTCCCTCCCACCTCCATCCCCCTCACCCTGCCCCATGCGGGCACCACTCAGAGCCTCTCGAGCACTTCCGAAGCCCAGTTCCCGACACACCACGCTGGCTGCCAGCAGGTCCCACTTGCGATCACAGACTGTGCCCCATGTGCCAGCCTTCAGGACTTCCACCCGGCCCTCTCCAGGGTGGGACCCACCCTTTAGACGCACTCGGGCCTATAGAGGAGGGAGACATATCCAACAGCAGTGAATGGAAACATCAGCCCAGAGAGGGCTAAATAGAATTGGGAGATGAATGAGATTCTGGTGGAGGGAGGAAGTGGTCTCAGGTCTGTGGCCCACCCCCTGGAAGGTTCCTCTATGTCCTCGTAGGTCAGGGCTGTGCTTAGTCAAGGGGGTGGCCAGGCTAGGGGGTTCTCCACCTGGGGTGGGGAAGGTCATAGTCACTGTCTCACACACCTCCCCCTGAGGCTTCGGTTGTTGTTGCTTCTTCTGGCCACTGGATGCTGCGTAGAGAGGGCCTGGCACACAGCTCACCACCGCAGGGGCCCCCCCAGGGCACCTGGCGGTATCATTGGCACGATAGAACTCCAAGGAGCAGAGGGAGAGGTGGGCCTCCGTGCCCACGCACGCCACCCCATGCAGACCAAAGGAGTGTTGCTGCCGCTGGGCCAGCAGCCTGGGGGGACAGGAGTGGGGTGCAGTAGGGTAAAACAATGCTCCTGCCTCTTTGCCCACAACCCTCCTCCCACTCTATGCCTCCACCATCCCCCAACCTTTCACAACCACTTTATCCCTTCTTCTTCCCCTCTTCTCTGCTTCGTTTCCTTCCAAAGAGACAAAGGGAACGGTGAGTTTCCAGGCTGAAAGAGCCTCGGTTCCCCAGACTGGAGGGTCCTTGGGGACCTTCTGTCGCAGAAGAACCCTATAGGGAAGGACGGCTAGTCTTGCCCTGCCTGACAGAAACTTTGTTCCAAGTGGTTTCAGGCTGCTGGTCCTAATGGAGGCACAGGCTGAGGCTGCTGTGCAAAGAGAATGGGAAGCCAGAACTGCCGCGCTGGAAGAGATGGGCAGGAGGGAGTGGCTGACACAAACAGGAAGCCTCAACAGTCAGAGTGAGCAGATCTTGCTATTATGCTCTCACTAAAATAACTGAATGAGTCAGGATGCAAAGGAGTGGGTAAGTCTTGAGTCTAAATGGCTTCTCAGAGGCCAGAGAGGCTTCCAGGCCAGAGGCTCTGCAGGCCAGAATATGCAGGGCAGTTATGGTAAGAACAACCAGATGGTGGACACAGGAAAGACTGGGGCTAGCATATGTAGGAATGAAGTATAAATGCAAGACAGACAAAAGTTAGAGAAACCACCAACCAGAGAAGGAGGGTGAACATGAACAATAGAGTGGTAAAGAAGTCTCTAGACCTGAGCCGAGCTCTGAGTCTTCGGTGAGGTAGTCCATGCTTCTGCAAGTTAAATGTAAGAGAAAGAATGTTCCATAGTTACCTGAGCGGGAAAATGGGACTAAACTAGAGATGTTGAAACTTGGAAACGCCGCAGAGAGATGCTTGAGAGAACAAGGGGACTTGTTTATCCACACCAAGGGAATGAGAGATTGCAGTGAGGCATGTGACGAGAGAAGTAAATTCTTCCCAGAAGATTTGGTTTGAGTCCAGAGAGGAAGGAACCAGAGAAGGCCTGGAACTGGTGGAGGGGGCCTGTGAGGCTGGTGTGGCAGTGAATTATTGCGGTAATGTGCCCCATCACTTGATGTCGAGGAAGGAAGAAATACGACGACTTGAAGCCATTGGCTACGAAACACTGAGAGGAGGAAAAGTTTATAAACACAACAGACAAAGGAAGCCTGGAGACTTTGCAGAATACCTTTGAAAGCTCAGGATAAGTGGATTCTGAAGCTCAAAGAGATCAGATACTCTTCCAAAGTCCTGTCTGGCTGAAAATGAAAGTCAAAGAGGCTATCACAGGAAAAAGACATCTCTATTCTCAACTCCCTCCTCCCATTTTCCCACAACTAACAAAATAAAAATGGCAGTGTGTACTTTAATGTGGGGGTCAGGGAAGGCCAGAGTATGGCCATGTTGGGCAAAGATGACCCTAAGCTAGAAGGCACTACAAGAATCCCCCCAAATTCCGAGCTCCTTTGAAGCCACCAGAGGGAGGAGCTGGGCAATGAGGGATACTGGGGGACTGCTGGGTGATCCCGGAACAAGCTGAAGAGAGGAGGGGACAATAGAAAGGGATGAATTCTCAGCACCTCA